CATTTAGTATTTTCTCATTTATCAAAATTTTTATTGTAGACTGCCTGAGACTGGCATGGTGAATCTACTATGATGGAGAGCAATTTATGCATGTAAATATATAAAATCTTGTACCTTGTACCTTGTACAGAATATCTACCTTGCAACTGGACCATCTCTGGACACAAGCAGCTTATGGCTGTGAGGCTCACAGCAAGTGTGTGGTCACACAGATGGACTGCATTGGTCCATAGTGTGTTGGAGTTGGAGGCAGCATCCTAGTCTAGCTCTTGTCTAGCAGAGCTCTGAAGTCCGAGAACTGCTATACACGAGGGCAGTCCCATGGTGGCAAACCAGAGCTTTTTTGGAATCAGTTTTTTTTTAATTTTCTCAATAACTCAAGATTTAAACCAATTTCTTAAGTATGATAATGCTGGTATCCATGATACTTTACTGGTCTAGTGGTCTACTTGTAGGACTCAAAAAATGAACTTGAGGGAGAGTCTAAAAAACTCTCTGCTTTGTCACTATGCACGAGGCTAGTAGCATGGGCTGGCACTGTGGACAGTTCTAGGCTTCTAGGTTCTAGCAGTGGATGAACTAGTGGCTGGTAGTCCACAGTGATAAACCATGGATTTTTTAGAATCAGTTAATTTTTTATTTCCTCATTTACTCACAATTTAAACCAATTTCTTATGTATGATACTAATGCAGGTATCCAGGATACTTTACTGGTCTACATATATAGGACTTAAAAATGAACTTTGAGGGACAGAGGGAGAGTAAAAACTCTCTGCTTTGCCACTCTGCCTAGTACTAGAATAGAATAGAAGTGTCAGCATTGAAGAAATAGGCCCATGGCTTGTTGCCAATTCTTGAACTTTTTGTGACTTGATTCACAAGGGAATGAAGGGATCTGGCCTTAGGAACCCAATCTTTCTTTAACTGACGATTGATTGAGATAGCTGCTTGACTTACTGGTTATTGCTTGGTCCATAATTTACTAGGCATTTTAAGACTGAAAATATGCTCCTGCTCCTGCATAGCTTTGCCTAGTCTGTTTTTGAATATGGCAGACTCTCTAATGTGCTTGCATTGTGGGGTGGATGATACCATGGAGCATTTTCTCCTGGCATGCTTGCGGTACCGGCGTACCGCCTGGAGGCTGGAGCGTCAGGTGCTGATTGCTACTACTCGAGCCATGGGTGTGCACCATCTAACTGTTTGAATACTTCTCGGAGGAAGCAACTACCGCAGAAAGATTCAACATGAAATAATAAGAGCAACAATCACCTATTTAACGCAAACAAATTGTCTGACTTACCTGTAGTGCATGAGCATCATCCTGGATCTACCTGTGAACAAAACTGGAAGCCCAGCTAATAGAACCTTCAAGAATCCTTGACACAACGCTGAAACTTTCTGCTGAGCCCAGGTGTAATGAGTGGTCATCTTTTGGCTACTTCTTCACCTTTAAGCCGGCCACAACAACACAACAACTGTTTTTGAATCCGTTCATACTCGGAGCATCAACAAATAACAATGCTATCAGGGAGGCTGTTTGACATGTCGGTGACTTGAAGCAAGAAGAAGTGTTGTTGCATGGATGTGTTCCAATGCTGTTTTTTTAGTTTATAGCCATGGCCCCTGGTGTTGGTTCTTGTTTCAAATTCTATTAATCCTTCTGGGACCTTGTATAAGCCATCAGTATACTTGTAAGCTTCAATGCAGTCCGCCAGTCCCCACGCAGATGTCGATAACTAAGGCTTGGAAGCTTCATAATCTTTAATCTTTCCTCATAGAACTTGCATTTCAAGCCCAAAACTATCCTTGTTGCATGTCTTTGAACACTCTTATTAAATTTTTGTCTTTTTCAAATTTGGGTGAGTAGGGTGACCACACGATGTTTCCATACTCTGGGGTTGGGCGCACAACAGCAACAAATAACTGCTTCATCGCTTCTGCATAAGTTCTGCATCTAGGAACTCAAAAGAGCGTCTGATCAGTCCAAGTCGTTTATTGGCTTAATTAACTTGACCTTCAATATGCATAGAATATTTCAACTCAAAGTGAACTCATTGTTGATATTAACTCCTAAACCTTTTTCTTTTTCCATTGTCAACTTCAACATCATCACTCTGTCATTGCAACCTTGTCTTCACACACTGTAATCTTGCTGTTCATTATTCTTGCCAAGGTGGATAACTTTACATTTGTCATCATTGAAACGCAGCTGCCACTTATCAGCCCAGTCGATCAGCTTGTCAAGATCTCCTTGCAACTGTACTTTTTGTGACATACGGTATTCTTCACTGTATTATAAATTTTTGTGTCGTCAGCTTATATTGATTACAATATACAATTTAAATGTGTTAGCTAGCTTATGCAGGGTGGGGCAGAACCGATTGAGCAGTTTTGAGGCAAAATAAAAGAGTAATGTAGGTACATAAAGAAGAAAGTTTATTTTCCTTGAGATTAGCATAACATACTATTTAAAATACCTATGTTTTGAAAACAATATCAGGAAGATGGTGTTTGTTAGCTGCATCACACTGTTGGAGACTTTATGTTTAGTATTGGTTTATTGGTCTGAATTAAGTGTAAACAGTGCAGTCACTCAGTCACTACTAGTAGAGGGTATAGAGGGTGGAGTCTGGTAGATTTATATGACATAAAACTAGTAGATCTATTGAGAGTGCTGTGCACTGTGCTATCAGCTACCTATCTGTTGTCTGACTCTTCAATGTTTAGAAGATCTGCCTTCCTGAAGTGTTTTTGTATATTGAAGCCAGTTAAATGGTCAATATTTAACTCATTACCTTGATCCATACAAACTTTACAAAGCTAATGAATCGACTTGTCAATAATTGTTTACCCAAATATACCCAAGTGGTAAACATCACCTTGGCCTGTCAGCCATTAATGAAGGCAATAAGTGCCCTTTTTAGCCATCCATTATGATCCATATACTGTTATTGTTAGTAGGCTAATTGCAACATAAAAAATAACCTTTCAAAAAGACAAAAAGCTGAAAAATAAAAAAAAAAATAAATAAAAAAATCATGAAAAAATAAAAAAAACGGTGATTTTTTATTTTTTTTTTATTTAAAAAAAATCACCAAACCTGATTGAATTAGGTAATGGGGATACAGGTTAACCTTGGTTAATGAGTAATGATCATAATCTGTTCCTTAAAGTTGTATGTGAACCAAATCGCTCCTTAACTGAAATAATTTCCCTCATAAGAAACAATGCTAATAAAAATAATTGGTTCCCAGCCCTTCTTGATTCACTAATATACGAAAGATATAGGCTATGTAGGAATGTTTTTTAAATGAGAACAGTTATAAATCTAGCTAAATAAATATAAAAATGGTAAAGAAATCATTTAAGCATGAGAAAACATTCAGTAACATACATCCTTTGTTGAACCTGTTTCTGCCTTTACTGTAGGTAACACTTTTTGATAATATGGTATTACATTGTCATTAAGCAAGTTTAGCCTCCTATTGCCTCCTGCACTATTAACCTTCTTTGGAGGCATGACTGAGGGCTCTAATTATTAAAATAAAACACAAAAATAACTACATAACATGAATGTGAATGTATAAAGATAACAAAAGTCCTATCAAAGCTGAATTTTCCATACTGGTGAGTGTAATATCATCTTGGAAGCTTAGTCACATGCCTAGTAATAACACATTCGTTGTTCATACTGAAATTTGTTTGCTTCCCAAAGTATATTTTTATCAAAATTCTTACTTGTTAACCAAAGCGTTTGCCAACCACAGTTCTACTGTATTTTCAGGGTTCCTGAAAAAAAGTTAATGAGAATGAATTATTTATACTCCTGGGGAAAAACACAACTTGATACTTTGCTAGTTAATTTGTTAACCCTACTGTAACAAAAAGTGCCAAAATTCATAAAATTTCCAGCAGATATGTTCGATATTTCTTCCCTGCCCTGCCATTAGCCACAACTCTTAATAATGGAATCATCCTGCAATTATATTAAGTGTTTAAATTAATAAGTTTGAACTGATTTCTGTGTATTACAGGTAAAGCTTTGTACATTTTCTTTAAAAAACAAAATACTCTAATTTTTGGTTTGAAATGGTTGCCTTATTGGAAAAAGTACGTAAAACGTTGAAAAATAATATACTGGCATTTGTTATATTGCCCATGATAGTGGGAATTCATATTACTTGGAGGAATCTTCAGGACAACCCAGACCTTGTTAAGCCTCATGAGAAGAAGGAACTACCTATTATTCGAGTAAGTGGCCAAAAAATAGTTTCTCCTGAAGTTCTTTCCAATTTTATTTGGAAGCATAGTTATGGTTAGAGTAGTTGAAAACCCCTATCATTAAATAAAAAATACTAGGTTCAGAAATTCTATCACGGAAAAAGTGTATTAATGCTGATATATGCTTAAATTGGCTGCAATTTGGCCTGTATTTATTTATTCAACAAGTCCCTTAATATATTTCAGTAAATGCATGGTTGAAGACTGAGTGTGAACAGGTTATCTTAGCAAAGTAGTTATTATCTCTGATTTAGGTACATGAAGAGAGATGCATCATATGGATATTTTTTTTTTTTTTAGATGAATATAATATTTGTGCAAAGCAATTGTAGGTCACTGTTGCTTTACTGCCCTCACAATGCTAATGAATTCAACTAAAGTATTGTGCAAAGGATCCTTCATATTTTTTTAGAATTTATTTATGACTCATTTATGGTATCAATATTTATTTATTACACAATGAAATCCTATCTTCATTTTCATTCCCTTGTTCCTGCAATATTTTGCATTGCCATTAAGGGATGCTAGTGTTTTTTGAATTGTGAAGTCTCAACAGTCGACAAGTTTAATTCAATTCTCAGGTTATGAGGTTATGGAAATTATGTGGCAGCTGTTTTGTCTGTTTGCAGAGTTCTAAAATTATTGTTCATTTGTAGGGAGCGCTGATGCTACAAGAGAAAATGGTTGATTCCATCAGCAGTGAGAAGAAGAAAGATTAATTCCTGTTGATTGAAGATGGCACATCATTGTCATTGCTTACCCTTGCTGTATTGAATAATTTATATTAAAGGTGAGTTATAAAACTTTAAAATATTTGAGCCCAATTATTGATTGTTAAAATATTTGTTTAAAACTCTTTTCAAATGCCCATTTGTATTGTAAGTTTTTCTTTTCTTAACTAATAATTAGGTAAAATTATAATTTTTGAATGCCATTATTACTAGGTCATGGTGATGGTGAACTGCAATGAGAAACTTCCAAGATAGTTTCAAAAATACCGTCAGTCCTCATAAAACAAACTTCTGACTTCCATTAAGCCATCATATGTTTGCAGGAAAAATGCAGGGAGTTCGGAGTTTGGAACCTCAAGGGCTGAGTGGCGTGTGGTGCCACAGCATCAAGGAGGCCTCTATATGTGTGCTGCTTGGACACTACCACTCGATGTTGAGGAGACTTCATGGACGTCAAGCAGGAACTTTGCTCCTCCAACACTCTGGTGGTATTCATTCCTACATTAACTCTGCTAGTGACTTTGTGAAAAACGTTCAGCCATTTCATCCATGCCTGAAGTTCATCAATGCCCTCATGGAAGCTCAGGTTTCTGCATATGGATCTCATGGTCTATACTGTGGTTTATTATGCTCTTCACTTCTACAAGAACTTCTCAAACTTGTCAGCAATGGTCTGCCACTTGTAATAATACAAGAAATATCTGGAGCTCTAGTTGACATCATTCTGTCTCACTGTTCTGAACCTACTGCTGTGCTGGATGTGTCCAGCATCCATGAAATGATGAAATTTTTGGGCCCTTGTCTCACTGACAGGAATTTGGGGCTCAATGATGCCGAAATTGATCATCTAAAAACCAAGGTACTTGAAGCAGTTTTGCTTAGCATTTCTGACATTGGACATTCACAAACGTTTGGTGATGTTGTGATCACTGAAGTTCCAGGTCGCCCGGTGACAGAAGCCTCTGTGTTCAAAGGTCTGCTTTATCGTCATCATCGCCTGCAAGAAAATTCAATGGCTTGTATCATAAGTAACTTGGAGTCTTTTAGTTCCTCACACATTGTTGGTCATAAACAGGCCTCAAGTTCAATCGGAAGTTCATCAAGAGGCATTAATTTGTTGAACAATGAAGAAAATAACATTTTTTCCAGAATTCCTAATGGCATTAAAAGTGATAGGATTTCATTCTATACACACAATAGAGTGTCAGATGAAGCTGAGAGCAGGAGTATCAGTCTTATCCTATTCAACATAACGTTGGAGTTCTCTTCAAATGCCAACGAATGTATTAAGTTCTGTGGCAAGTTCTCTAGTTCAACCATGTACGACATGGAAGTCACTAAGCAACTAACGACATTCATGGAACGTGAGAAAATATTAATCCTAGCCTGCCAGAAGGTAGTGAGTGAGAGTATCACTGCTGCTCTAGAGAGACGTGGTATCCTTGTTCTAGAGCGGCTCGGCACAGCACTCACGACTTCCTTGGAAAAATTAGCCAATTGCCGGGCTGTTTCTGACCTACAGCTGCTACAGGCCTCAAATGATCAACCTTGTATGGGGTCTGGTCATCAAGAGTGTAAGTGCTTGTTAAGAAACTCCATTGGTGCCATCACTGGTATTAAACGTCGTGATGTTTCTGGTCGCCTTTATCTGCTCATTGAGAACACATCTGATGTTCCTCATCCGCCTGTAGTGACGCTTCTTCTACCTGCTCTCATGGCGCCTGTTGCTGCCAATTTAAAGGTATTATAAACTTCACCTCTTGAATATTTCACTGTAATACTAACGCCAACATATAAAACTTTGCTATTTACATAAGATTTGGTTGTGCAGTTCCAAGTTACTTAGTGCTTGGCTGATATATTATTTCAAATTTGATGATGAACGGGCATAATTAGTGTTGAGATCTAGCATAATACCATCCCATAAATTAGACTTCGTCGCGTACAGGTGTTGGTGGAGGAGGCTGTGAAGAGCGTGTCACACAGCATCCTATCTCCTGGCGTGGTGTGCGGCTTCTGCTGGGGAGCTAACCTGGCGGCTCTTGTGCAGCGCCGACACACGAACTCCTGCCTCCTTCAGCGCACCGGCGCTACTGAGGCGCAAGTCTTTTTCGTACGTTTTAGCATAGGTTGCACTTGGAATAATATTTTGACTTGGCCTCCCTTATGAATTGTAATGTTTCATAAATCCTTTTCTGCATGCTCGTCTACTGAGACCAGAAAAGACGTTTAAATTTCTCTGCGAAAAAATTCGTTTCTAAAACAAGTTTCATGAATTAGATAATTCGAATAAAGCATGATTCAGTAATTCGAAAGTACTCAAAGAGCACTAGTCCGCCTGAGCGACTGTGCCCACGAAAATCAACCTCTTCAGCCGATAGAGTTACCGATGCAGCCGTGTGCATGATGACACTGACGCCACCGTGTGCATGATGACACTGACGCCAACGTGTGCATGATGACACTGACGCCACCGTGTGCATGATGACACTGACGCCACCGTGTGCATGATGACACTGACGCCACCGTGTGCATGATGACACTGACGCCACCGTGTGCATGATGAAGCAGGTGGTTGGTAAATGTGCAGGTGGTGGAGGCGTTCTGGCGGGTGTTCGTACGTCTGCAGGCGCAGGAGGACGGCAGCCAAAGCAGTGTCGCGCCCCTGCCGCCGTGGGCTACAGACCAGCACAGACAGGAGCCACCCCAAAGTGGTGAGGCGAAGTAACAGTAACGAACTAAGGATGAAGTTTGTCATCAAAACCGTTTTAATTAAAGAAATTGTGAATTTACTTGGCGCTTTCTCTTTGCTTTTCAATTATTGTTAAAACTTGTTGATTGTTTAGGTTTGTTCATTCATAACCTGAGTCATAACCCACATCGTCATAAGGTAGAAAAATAATAACCCACTCATCACATTTCTAAGCACGACTAAAGTTAATTTCTCTAAATATGTTGGTTTTCCGCATCACTCGACTTGTTTTGTATAATGTCGATACAATCTTGTCATATTAATTTTTTTATGTGTCAGTTTGATAGTTATAAAATTCCTGTGAAATCAAAGGTTATACTTCTTTAAGATGTATTAAATAATATAAATGTGTTCCTACTCTTCGAAGCCGATTATATTACTTCACACTCGGGTTCAAAATATGCAAGTTTCATAGTTTTTTTCAATGCTTTTCATGATCGCGTCGTTGAGTGTACCTATAAGTTTACTCGACTGTTCGCTTACAATAATATTTTCTGAACATATCAGTACCACAAGAGCGCAAGACGCGTGCAGCTGCCTGCCACGATGAGACTCTGTCACACGCTGCGGTGTTCAGTGCTGTGTCGTCGGCGCTGGAAACTGTTCTTCAGCTGCTGCAAGTCGACTACTGCATCTTTGACAGATAATTGCATACTTGAGCTCTGGAAATTTCATGATTTCATAACCGTGCTCTGGAAATTTCATAATTTCATACCCGTGCTCTGGAAATTTCACAATTTCATACCCGTGCTCTGGAAATTTCACAATTTCATACCCGTGCTCTGGAAATTTCATAATTTCATACCCGTGCTCTGGAAATTTCATAATTTCATACCCGTGCTCTGGAAATTTCATAATTTCATACCCGTGCTCTGGAAATTTCATACCCGTGCTCTGGAAATTTCATACCCGTGCTCTGGAAATTTCATACCCGTGCTTGGAAATTTCATAATTTCATACCCGTGCTCTGGAAATTTCATACCCGTGCTGTGGAAATAACGCCAAAAATTTACTAGTTTTCTGAATTTTAATAGAACTAAATTATTTTATAGTATCGGACGAGTTTCTCAAATAAGATCAATCAAACTTGATGAAATTCGTGCCACAAAAAATGCAGTAATAGTTAAAAATTATATAACGATGGTGAATTTGAAATTATGTGTATTTATTCTATTGTTGGGTCAATGGTGATAAATCCCCCATTTTAAGATGTTAGGATATATTTAAATTGATTTATTATGTCTTGGGCACCTATAGATGGACACAGGAAAATTCGACGCTAATTTGCTAAAATTTCGGCAGATGCTCGGTTGCACACTAATGGAGCGGCTGCGATAATTACTTCAATATAATAATATTCACTTAAACTTCACAAATTTAGCTGTAAGTACCAAAGCATCGTTGCAATGAATGCGGGATTGAAATGTAACTTTAGAATTAATGCAGTTAATAAAGGCATCATCTGACACAATATCGTATTTTAGGCTTGCACGTTGGCTGAAACGATTATGGGCTCTACTGCGACAAATGTTGACTGTTTTTCCTCATAACCCTACAAAATATATCACGAATTTCTTGATATTTGACTTTATTTACTTATTACTCAATTTTGAATACGAGGTGGTGTTCACTGGCGTCGCGACGTGTTCTGCTTTAGCAGTAAAGGCAACATGTGTATGATTTTGAAAACAATTCAGATCTTGCAATCAAAATTTATATTATTATAATTGTCATTACTGCGGTGCGCGTTTGAAAGAAAATGAAGAGTGATAACAATTTTGTGTGACTTGCGCCATTGACAGGCGATTCAGCGCTCATATAGAAAAGATGTGTCGCGCTATACAAATTGAATCCGCAATTTATACTAAGACTTAATTATTCTGGTGACGGCAAGGTAAAGATTCTTAAAATTAGGCTGTGATGGTTAGCCTTACGCTCATCATGCCTTATCGTGGACAACCCACTCAGGCAATGTCGAGTTATGGTCCTCAAGTAAATTTGAACACAGAATTTCTGTCAGATAAATTTGGTTTCCTACTGTCTTATTATTTTCTCAGAGAAGAGCTGTTTTTAATTGAACAACCGTGTTTAATTGAACAACCGTTTAGGGAACTGAACAACCGTGTTGAAACATGCGAAGATGCAGAAGCTTGTAGAAACTAGAGGCATTAACAACACGGAGCATTTTCCCGACAAGTCAATTGTTTGTTGTTACTCAAATGTAAAATTTGGGCAAATATTACACTGTGTTTGAAAAAACTTTACTATAGTAAACATGGCTTGCATTACATTTTCATCTTTATAATAAATCTTGACCTTGGTTCACCGGTTTATTATTAATCTATTCTGTGAATTACAATAGAAAAATATTTTGTTTGTTGGTTGTATACGTTGTTCCATTATTTAGTTTATGAATTGTGTACATAATAATGAATGGTGAGTGCGTTTTCTGTATCTTACGCCATTACAATGATCTATTGAACACTTATGGTTTCACTCTCCTTCTGGCTTAACTACGAAATTCGCGTGTTGCTTCTACTCATAACTTCGGGCAGACGACTGGGATTCTTGTTAGGATGCTAGTTGTAGGGTTATTGTTAGGATGTTAGTTACAGGGTTATTGCTAGGATATTAGTTATAGGTATAATTGTTAGGATGTTAGTTATAGGGTTATTTTTAGGATATTAGTTATAGGTATTATTGTTAGGATGCTAGTTATAGGGTTATTGTTAGGATATTAGTCATAAGGAGTCTTGTTAGGATGCTAGTTATAAGGTTATTGTTAGGATATTAGTTATAGGGATTCTTGTTCGGATATTAGTTACAAGGTTAGTGTTAGGATATTTCCTTCTTATGAGCATTCCAATCGGCAGCAAGTTTGTTTGCACAAACTCTGTTACTTCTGCTTTTCACTTTAGAATTTCTTCTCAGTTCTGCTCGCAGGAACAAGAACTGAGCAGACATGCTCTTGAATAAAAACGTTATATACGCTCTAAAGTTGACTCCGCCATCTTCGTCATAGTTCTCAAATGTGGGTGCTGTCGCTCTCCTCAGGTCTAATCGTTAAGTCAAGGAATCAAGTTAGTTAGTTTAGTGTCCAAATGTTTACTAGCGCTTCAGCTATTAAGCTATCTCGCACCGAAAGTCAAGATGAACATCACCATAGAGGTGGAAGGTCTCAATTATTCATCACCCACAAGGGGCGGAAGGTCTCAGATGTCCAGCCCTTAACCCCACAACTGAGACCTGCAGTCAGACACCGCGAGCTCAGCGATGGGGCGCTCAGGAACAATCCCCCTAGGAGCGCGAAATCCCGTAGGACTTCTGACGAGCACAGACACCCGTCAGAAGTCCCCCCTGAGGGGTCAAGGAATCAAGGAAGAATTTTGATATAATAATATGATTTTATTCATTTTTAGTTTTTCGAACTGATGATGGAGCTGGACTCCGAAACGTTTTCAATATCGATGTGGTGAATTTGCTTGGCGTTTTCTTTGCTTTTAAATTCCTAGTGAACTTGCGATATAAGCAGACTGATAATATCGTTAAATCATATTTCCTCATAGGTTGAGGTCGTATTTGTTGCTTGCTTGCGTATCATGCTTCATATTCTTCTTAGTTTCTTATTCGAGTTTAGGGTATGGCTCAGCCAGGATACAAACACAGACACTAGCAGAGATGTGCATTTCCAGTAACAGGCCGACACGTATCTGAGACAGAGACGATCTATGTCTCTTGACTACAACACTATGCCGCGCGGTCGCAGCACTGTAGTCCTACACGTCTTAGTTACTCTGGTACAATGGAGACCGACTAGTTTGCCGAACACAAGAAAGAGTCATGCCATGCATATTTAACTCGATGCTGGTCTCTGAATTTGAATCCGATCTCTTAGTGGTTCTTGTTCAGATGGTACTCTCGCTCTACTTATTGGGAATTACTTCAATATGTCTCGCTGTCGGTGATCGAGGCAAATAATTGCTAGTTTGATTCGAGAGTTAAAAAATGAATGAGGGCCAAGAGCATCAGCAGACACCCCCAAGTTTTATTGGGCAGGTATTTTGAACACGCTTTTTAGCGCATTTCCTCATTTATGGAAAAAATGCATTATTGTGCTCGCCATATCTGTCCGTCCGTCCGTCCGTCCGTGACCTCAAGTTTTCGTCGACGAGAAAATGCGCTCTCTGTCACTCACTGCAGTGACTACTGAGTTATATTTTTAGCGCATTTTCTCATCTATGGAAAAAATGCACTATTGTGCTCGCCATGTCTGTCCGTCCGTCCGTCCGTCCGTGACCTCAAGTTTTCGTCGACGAGAAAATGCGCTCTCTGTCACTCTCTGCAATGAGTACTGAGTTATATTTTTTTTTGCTACTCTGGGAACGTCACTTCATTGAAGTGGACTTCGCTTACCTTTTACTATTTGTCCGGGACGGTTCGTAATAAGAGCTACGTCACATAGGCATTCGCTCAAATGAACTATGGTTTGGACTTTTTTTAATTTTTCTTGTAAGCTGAAAATTTTTGCTTGAACAGAGCTACGAGACAAGCTATAAGGAACCCATCTTTTTATCCTAAATTCTCAGATGCTATCGTCGGTAACAAGTGCACAGCCAATAGGTAATACAGGTGAGGTAATATATTTAGGACAAAAGAGTAACGTTGTACACCCGCAAGATATGATACTCACTGCAGTGATAGGACCAAGAAACCAAATGGTCGGGGCGAACTGTGCGTCTTAGACTGGACTCACTGACATGAGATTTCATGCTTGCCCTAAAAGAAAGAAATACGAAGGGTAGATATGTTCACATTGTATACTATGTTATTCTATTTATCATTGATCAATATTATTGGTTATGTTCAGATTTGAAATGCCTAGCACCATAACGAACCCGGTGGGAGTCGAGTAACTATTTCAAACTATCGTCAGTCATGAAAATATCCGGTCAAATGACAAGATTGAGATCTTCTGTGAACAAAGCACATAAAAGAAAAGAATCGGCGACAGGCCACATCGGGCCTACACTTAAGCGCCGAGATCACTGTGTTATGTTATAGTAGCTCGTAATTCTAAGTTTTCATCGATCAAAATTTATCGACAGTGCTTGAAGATGCTCTGCAGGCACTGAGCTCTCTCGCAAGATGTGACTAGCAGCAAGTCACTCAACTGATTGTGGAAAATAAAAAGATTTTATTATAAATTTCTTACATCATCTCTTTTCCGTCAATCAAGTAAGGATGAAATCAAGCCTAACATTACAAATCAATTTCAACAAAGTGTTCACGATTTTTTTCGTAAAGAATGAATAAACTAAAGGGGAATATTAGATGAAAATTTTAGTGTGTGTACTGAGTGATATACTCGTCGAGCACGTCGTAGACCGTCAGGCCACCGCGCATCTGACGTTGAAATAACGTTCATTAAACATTTCAATAAAATCAATGTTGTTGCAGCGTCATTTGCCTCATGGATTTACATTGTGCCCCTACTTTCATGCTGCACTTACGAAAAAATGTAATACATGTGCTTTGAAGAGCAATCTGTCCGTGATGCAAGTAATCCCATGTACGCATCAAATTACGTAACTCAATTCTGAAAAATGCTCGTGCCACGTAAAATATGTTAATGAAATTTATTCCAAATAGATACTCGCAAGGCGTAGAACGTTAAATATTCATCCCCACGTATGTGGGGCCTGGTTTAATTAAATATTTGATTTGCTACTGAGAGATTATAATAAGCATTACATTGAAATGCTGTTAAATAAAAAAAATCACACATAGGTAATACAAGTAAATAAGAATAACATTCGAGCCTACATTATTTGAATATCTAAACATGCCACAACACCTATATCACTAAACATAAACATTATAAAGATCTCGCGTCTCCATTCATAACAAACCTCAGCCACTCGCATCCATGCACAGTCTTTTCATGGAATGGGATGATAATTTATTGTTGGTCTTAATTTCAGTGCAACATCGTTATGATTGATCATCACCTTCATGATATCTTAATTACTTCAGAAAGTTTGTATCTGAATTAGAGAATTCGCTTCGCGCCATGCAATGGATGTTTACACTCGACCATGCAATCTCCAAATAACCAATACCATATTAACCCCAATTTCTTAAAACAATAAAATTACAAACAAGAATAATACGAAATATTTTATACATAAAATTTAATAATTAATTGTTCTACACGTCAAAAGTCTTAAGAAGGCGCAGTCGAGAAAGTTTTCATGCGTTCTATTGAAGATTTGGAAACGCAGGAACCCGATTACGATCCATGCTCTGGGTTGTCAGACTCGAGCTCAGTGGGCTCCACATTGTATGGCTCCTTTTCGTTAATTTTCATCGCTAAATTTCCACCATCTTTGCTGTGGGAGCGCAGCCGTGGGTAACAAAATTGACTGGTAAACAGGCCCTGGGCCCAACGCCAACCATCAGCATGCAATATCTACACATAGTCTCAGATCAATGAGATGTGGGTAACTCCGGCTAACAGTAAATCCGCTTTGCACAACACAGCCACTGCTTCATAGAGCCGGAGCACAGCTGGCCGGAGCGCAACAGGCCCTACCGCAACAGGCGGCGCAGGTTAGGTTAGTTTGGGTTACGTTAGTAGTAGCTGTTGCGGTAGGGCCTGTTGCGCTCTGGCCAGTTGTGCTCCGGCCTGTGACTAAACGGCGCTGTTGTGGTGGGCGCTTTGTGTCAAAAGCCGTGAAGATGCCCGGCTGCGTTACGCTCGGGAAGGTATATGAATCGCACTGTGGACTTGGGCTATGCTGACCTCTAGCTATCCACCCCTTTGCTGTCATCAGCGCTGGTTGGTAAAGTTGGTTCAGAATAACTTGATCTTCGTCGTGAGGTAAGAGAATAACCAAAATTACTAAAATTTTCACGAGTTGTTCTGTGTTGATTTTGTTCTTCAGCGTAATAATCTTTGTCGCTCACCGACTCTTCTTCGAGTTGGTATTGCTCAGGTATGGCTTCATATGATCTCCTTGTGTGTGTCGGTAAATGATGTGAGTGGCACTCTGAGGAGGAATCAGAATTACTAATGTTTTTTGCATGTTGGGTCGACGTCTCAAGTCCGTTTTGATGTCCTGGTTGATTTTCTCGGTATGATAAACCGATGATTCCAGAGTTGATATCACTTCGTAAAATTCCTACATTTTTTGATCGCTGTTGTGGCAATGAAAAACTGAGACTTTTTCGGCGAGAAAAGATGTTCTCATTATCAGATATAATAGAGCTTCGGGAGTCGGCTCCTGGGTTCATCCTACTTTCTATCTTTGTTTTAAGTTCGGACAGTCGATGTTTCTTTAACCTCCCTCTGGGACCATCCAACAAATCGAAGCAAGAGTTCCTGTATGAAGGCGCCTCAGATGCTTTTCTAGTTGCGGCCACTGTTTGCGTAGGATCAACGAAGAATGTTTCCATTATACCTTTACCTTTGACATTAATTTCGCCCCGAGACAATGTAGTCCAACCAACGTCTTCCAAGATTTCTGCAACTGCTCTTGTCACCTGCCAAAGTTGAAGATTTATACAATAATATTTTGAATGAGAACAAGTGTTTCCAAAGCACCAAATATCTTCTCCGACGTCTGCGAATATAATTATCGAGGAGTGGCCTTACACCAACCACCATATATTGCCCTTTGATAATTGATAGGACGAACAAAAAATTGCGCGTTTATGATTGAAGCATTACTGGAGGCCGCATTTTTACATATTTGCCAGAGAACTGGGCTTGCCACACAAACGACCACTTAAGCACCAGCGAGCAAACACATAAGATTTATTATTATATTGTGTATTATATTATTTCTCTACCTCGCCCCACTTGCCTCCTCAGGCATCTCAAGGCTCGCTTGACCGCCTTGAACCCTGTTTTATTCCTAATATATTTTATTTCATAAATTCATTCATCTCCATCACCACTATTAGTTCTCAGATAGGCTGAGATTCCCTTCCGGGATCTCTTATAGAGATGGAGTCACGTAAATCCTAACGCAAATCATGTAGTTGTAGAGGGCACTACGGAAGCGGTTTGTTCATTACAAAATTCATGTATATTACATCAGCAGAAATTCGAATTTCTGATATTAATCCTAACAGGAATCTCTTTATTGACGGACAAAATTTGTTTAAGTTCGAATTTAACTTTTAATGCGAGTGCCACCATCGCATTCATAAACATATTTATGACAGAAATACTTTCCAATCATGCACAATACTAATCAACAAATGCCTTTTAATTTTTTCTATTAGAAGTTAGCCTTCATAGGGAGACTTTACTATCCCATATACGCTGCCATCAAAGGGGACAGCTTGGGGAATTTTTCACCCACGTGTATTTTGCCGATCTCGCCGGTGTAGTCCATCCTGGAGGCGACGTTCACAGTGTTGCCCCAAATATCGTAAAGTGGCTTTTGACAGCCTATCACTCCTGCTATCACCGGCCCCACGTCCATGCCTGGAAATTATGGCATTATTTAAGCAATATTTAGTTTTTGCATGCAGTTATCCCTGCGCCTTAATTATTGAAATGGTGCCTGAGCCTTGGTGACTAAAAAGGCGCCTGCTCCTCAATAATTAACGTTATAAGCCTTGCAATGACTCCATAAAGTTAGCTTCATTTTACTTAGTACGAAATTTGAAAATTACGGAGCAGTGAATGTTCATTTGAGCATTTTACGAGTTAGGGCCTCACATGGTTTACAAATGATAATTAATTGAATAGACTTGATCTGTGTAATCATATTTAGAAACTGTGATCGCCTTGTTTTGATCTCTTGTAATTTGTTTTAATCTCTTATGCATCTGTGATTCAATGAACTCGAAAAAATGAAAACAATTCATGATATAAACTGTAAATTATTGTTATTAGAAAGTAATATTTTCTTGCTATTCACGAAAATGCTTTTCATGAAGGATTTTCTAAGATTTGATGCAATATTACTATTAGTACACACAGTCAAGTCAAAGGAACCGAACCATCAAAAGAAGTTACGAGTTCGACATTTCGTATACCAATCGTGCATGGCTTTTCAAGCTAAACCCACTTTTCACAAACGAAAAAGGGCCGTCATATAATCAGCTTAGCAACCTGTACCAAAACCGCTACGTGTACATAAGCAATCTTCGATAGTACGTCCCTCATAAAAAAAACATGCACTCACACTGTGAAACATATCGCGTTAAATACCTATTCTTAGCTGGAAGTTTTGAAGGCTCTCTTTGTTAATAGTTTCAAGTTTAGAGAACATGGCGGCAGCGAAGGCGGCCAGTGTGGCAACATTCTCGCGCCTGTCTTGCTCGACAAACTCTGCGTCGTCAGCGCTTCTCATGCCGGGTTGGAGGCCGCACGCTGCCATGTACGTGCTCCCCACAACCTTGATCTTCTCGATGCTCAAGAACTGCATCTGGTACGTTAACTGATGAAATAGATCTAAGATTACATAAAACTTCAAATTAATTTTAAAAATTTAATAGGATTCGCTTCAATCCCTCATACGAACATAATAATTTATTGGAAATGACCAGTAGCTAATACTAGGTTCATTTATAATTTTATATGTTTAAGGTTAAATCCGTTTCGTCAGTTCTACTATGCCATGCATACATTACATGGCAGGCAAGCCACAACTGCAGGGGTTGTTCTTAAATTGTGATTTTAATCTGAGCCAACGCTTCACAATTAAGATTCTGTGTGAGATGCAGTGTTTTATGTTCTACTTGACGATGCGAAGCTCAGCTAAAGCAAACCTTTTATTCGATTGAAAGACATTTGAAAAATAACATTTTCTCTAGATATTCCAATAATATGTAAATATCTTTAATGATACCAAATGGAGGCACCCTCTAAACCTAACCTCTACGCACATAATTTTGAAATAATAGAAATAAAGATATAAAGAAGCTATTATTGGCCCATGACACATTCAACCGAAGACTACCAGCACGCCTCGTCTGATGGAGAAGTATTGCTTTAGCAGACTAATAAAACATGTCATTCGAGCGAAACTGTCTCGTATGATTAACTCGATTTTTTCTGTTAGTCGATCGCATGACAACTTACGCCTCCGAAAATTGTTGGTATCTGAAGTCTTTATAGAAAGAAAATCCGAAACTAATGTCACTAATCTAATTCCAGTTTAATTTTTCGTCAGGAATCATGGAACTCACCGTTAGTTTAATTCAAAGTATCACAGTGTACACTGTACGCATCCAGATATAGTTACCAAGCAATGAAACCAGTCTCCTTAACACACACCATATCAAATTCCCTGATGATTTCATGAAGCACTTTGAGGCAGCCCCTGCCCTCCTCGTTGAACTCGAGCTCCTTGTAGAACTCGGAATAATTGGGGATACTGGCGAAGAGAACCGCCACGTGGTTGTAAGACTCGTGGTACAGCTCGTCCGCCGGCGGCTCCAGAAACTTTTTCGCTGAGAGCAAGAAGTTGGCTCAGGACATACGTGGTATGCAGTTTTATTTTGAGGGATAAAGATTGCTGGCTTTGATTAACTGCAGCTAATCTAAAATGAAAGCTCACACAGTATTATAGATTAGCTGTAGGCTGCGCTCTACAGTTAATGGCGGCTCACACAGATATTAACAAGTACGTCACGCTGAAGCTTTGATGTTTGGGGCAAATATTAATAGTTTAAAGGGTAAAACATGTGGAAAAATACGAAGTGAGCTTAATTTTTTTAAATGAAAATATTTAGTGTGCCATGCATACTCAATGATGGTACGTTGAGATTCTATTCATAAGCTGGAATTGTAAAGTTATATATTTCTATACACAAATCGAAGTTTAGTCGACTGATTGCAATTAGAGGTTGCTTTCCAAACCATAAGATAGCTGGTTAATACGCATAATCATTAGTGATTGTCATAGCTATATTCATACTTCTTGTAGCCATAAGAAGATATACAACTATTTTATAATATTCAACTGATTATATACAAAGTTCGTTTTATTTCTAGAGTCAATTTAGCATGATAATTTTGGATTGACCATGTGCCGAACTTTAGCCCATAGTAGTAAAATGCATAAATCAACAATACCACATGTATGTTAGACGATAGCATCATTTTGAGATATTATGGCACTATTCAAGCCTGTTGCATGCGTTCTTTATTCTTCATGGTCGACGGAATAAGATCAGAAGCTCAGTAAACTATAATCTTTGGTCTACCAGAAAATAACGAGTATAACAGAGGTCCTGCAAGTCTTAGTCGCGAAGTAGATGGCAGAGAGCCTTAACTTTGTTACATGATCTCTGGTTCATAAATAAGAAATTTGTCGTGAAATATTGTCACTCCACTGCATCGGTTATGTAGTGAATATTAAATGTATGCAAGAGTCTTCAGGAACGAAACAACTTCTTTGAAGCTTATATAAGAGTTTTTGCCAGAGTCGCATGAGTAAATCCAAAACTTATAATATCTATTTTTGGAGAGTCCGATTTAGAAATATCAAATGTTTATTCATTTCTAATGACAGAACAGAACTGACGGAGCAGGAATTGATAGAAAAGTTATTACATTTCTAAAATTTGGTACGTGTACCAAAATTATCGTCCGGCTGAATACCGAAAACTAGACTGTCTTGAGTAACGATATGATGTAGCCTGTGTCCCTATTATTGATCCATCAACAGAATTTATCAACTGATTTTAGCGCATTTTCTCATTTATGGAAAAAAGGCGCAATTGTGCTCGCCATGTCCGTCCGTCCGTCCGTCTGTCTGTCCGTTCGTGACTTCACGTTTTCGTCGACGAGAAAATGCACTCTCTGTCACTCACTGCAGGGAGTACTGAGTTATATATTTTTGACCTCTAACTGACCAACGTGTCTAGGGAGGATGTTTGTGAGAAGTATTTTATTCGCCATGTGCGTCTCTTCAGCCTCTTTGTGCTCCTTTCCATGTTGCTGCTTCCAGCCAAAGTCCAGTCGCATTATATACTCCATCTGTCGAATGATGTGTGTTCATTAATTATATGCGCTCATTCTACGAACCATCCCAACTCTACGCATGCCGAATTATTACATGACAACGTCTTCTTGATGCACATTTTCACTGAAATTATTATAAAATCTTCGTTGAAATAATGGATTAACCTTCATATAATTTCAACGTGAATTATGAAAAAATTGCGCATGAAGGCAAAAATAGTGATTTGTTATCCATGAAGTGCTTGCTATGATGCAAATGCTTAAATCTAATTTATTTTCACTATAACTCTACCTATTAATTATCGATTTATTTCCTGATTTATAATCAATATCATGGCGAAAAGCAAATAAAAATATTTCGTTAACATTTTATGCGAGTAAGTGATGTGTAACTAGACTACGAGAAAATTCCTTTCCTAAGTATATGATTATATTTATTTTAATTATAACGGCTTAACTTCTAACTTTGTTCATATCAGAAGTATGGAAGTATCACCTGTCTATCCATGACATGTAGGGCGAGGGTGAGGGAGGTTACGAAGATAAGATGGGTCACGGCGGGCGATAAGCTATCGCTCGACACCAGGAAAATGGGATAGACGCTGCCGCTGTACACGTCCTGTTAGAATAGAATAGAATAGAAGTGTCGGCGTTGAAGAAATAGGCCCATGGCCTGTTGCCGATTCTTGAACTTTTCGTGACTTGATTCACAAGGGATCCGGCCTTTGGAACCCGATCTTTCCATAGCTGACGATTGATTGAGATAGCTGCTGGACTTATTGCCTGGTCCGTAATTTGCTAGGCATTTTAAGACTGAACATATGCTCTGCATAGCTTCGTCTAGTCTGTTTTTGAAGATGTTCATACTCGGAGCGTCAACGATGCTATCAGGAAGGCTGTTGTTCAGGATAACATTTTATAGCAAACATATTTATATTTTGGTTCTTGAACGTGCCTCAGCAAAAATTTCAAAAAAGTGTACATCTTAATGATATTGCTTTTTAATGTGACCTCATCGTTCCAACGTTAAATTTACAATTCAAAAATTTTCTGCACATCTCTACTAGTCAATACAATATCTAACTGGCGTTATTTCTCATAATATTTGAACTCTTTTGAATTCGTAGCAATATGGTTATTTGCATTCATATGATCTTACGCAGAGGCAAAATTTTAATATCTAGGAATCGCTTAACTCAAATGTTGCAACATATTTTATAACTTTATCGATGATTCTGAAACAACTCCAATTTTACTGCTTCTTACATGTTTAAATTGACCGTATGGAGCACTTAGATTATGCATGACTCGAAGTAGCCCTTCATTTTCCAGCTCCATGGAGCCCGTCATTATATCCTTAGTTCTTGCCTACTTTGACACAAAGTTTCATCGCATTACTAGAGGATCATAAAAAATTTCCGTATAACAGTAGATATTACCATGATTTACTTGGTCATTAAAATGACTTCAAAAATTCTACAGGGACTGTAGGACAAATGGATAAAAAATGATCCCTTCTGGCATCTGACATTGAAATAATGTTGATTAAACGTAGTTTCAAAAAATCAACTTGTAAGCGACGTTGTTCCAAGTTATTTGCCTGGAGGAATTTTTTACCTTGTGACTCTGCAGCCATTACAAAACAAGCCATCTTCTGTTTAACTCTGCCTCTTAATAATAATAATAATAATAATAATAATAATATCGATTTCAGCGTTTATTAGGCCGTAGGCCTTTTGCCGATTCTTAACTGCGTTTTTCGGTATCGAACGCGCAACTCACTGCTACAATTCTGCTTTGCTTAACCGCCCGGCCTCCTTGCCGATTCTGACCAGAAACTGGCGTACAGAGCTGGGATCGAACCCGCGCCTCTCTGCGCCAATCTTTCTACTCTGAACTTTAACCACTAGGCCACCCTGCCCAGTAGGGTGGCCTACTATCTTTTGAATACATGAATATCTTATATATATGAATATCTTCATACCTTTTGAAGTCCAAGGATGCCGTAAGTGTAGAGGCCAACAGCGACCAGGTAGGAGAACAGCTTCAGCATAAAATGCATCCTGAAGAAGCACCAAACCACCAGCAGGCACAGCGATATCGAGTGGGTGAAGAACTGCCAACAAACCAGTTTATTTATGCGGAAGATAAATTAAATATTGTTCTTGGAAAGATTCATTCCAAACTATTGCGGAGAGAAAGTTACATCAAATAATTCGAGTGGTTGACTATAGTATGATATTAAAATAGTAAATGCCTATTATTTTTTGGTAGGAGTTTAAATATATGAGCGGAATGAAATATGATGCTGTATAATTTTTCTGCTGAGTAAATAAAAATGACGAGTACATGTAATTCTGAAATTGTCTTCTCGTTTTTTAAAATATTAAGTAAATAATAATCAGTTCGTAAACAAGTAAAATTTATATTTTGGAATGTGGTGGGTACCAGCGAGATGTTATTTTCGCAAACACTGTCTATACCTCAGCAACGAATGGTATAGCTTCCAAAACCGATTTACACACAATCCATGCTGCGTGATTATCCGACTAAATGCGCTACCGTGAAAACACAATATGGTAAGTATAGCAGTTAGCCTTGGAGTGATGCTATGTACGATAGTAGGCACAAGCTGGGGCGGTTTGCTTGTAGTTTAAACGCCTAACAGCCGACAAAGAACGTATTTAGGACGCAATTCCATCATAGCAACAATGCGTCCGACTTATATGCACAAATGCTTGCGAACTTTCGAACGATCGATTACCTCGTTTTTTTTTCGACGATGTCAGCCCTTAAGAGCGTTTTGGTCTGTTTCTGCGGTGCATAATTGAGCTCGCGTGTCGATTTTTGACTCGTTAATTGAGATTCAATTTCGGATACAGACATATGTGCTTTTGTTTGTAGCTGCTTCTTGCTTGTAACTCTTATATGTGACCAAGTCGCTTTGTTTCAACTGCGTCATGTGTTTCCAAAGTTGTCAGAAAGAACTGTTGCACTGTGTTGACACATGTGTCCATTGAGACTGCAAGTGATGCCATCGATACATGTCGTTGTACCGTCCATTGATACAACCGAGATACTATGACATGAAGCTTGTGGTAAACGTGTGGACATTGTGGTAAGTTTTGAATTCCTGCAAAACTGTAGGTGCATATTTTGTACCCATTATGAGCTATCATTGTAAATAGTTTGTGTATGCAAAGTGTTGTTTTATTGAGGGCAACTAAGGGGTAATATAAAAGTAATGGAGGATGCCTGCTAGTTCATATCAAGACAAAGAGTGCGTATCTGTTTAGTGAGGGCTGGTCACATAGCGGACATCTACGATATGATATTTTATGAAATGTTTAGCGCCGGCATCGTAATGTTATGGCAGATATTAGTTATGTTTGAAGTGAATAATTGTGAATGGCGATAACCAAAGATGTGACGATGTCTCAAGTAGAGAGAGTACCTGCGGGCAATATCATAACGAATAGTCTGGATCTGCATGTATATTGTATGGGAAATAATTGTTGTCTGCACTGCAATGTTTTAGGTAATGGTAGGTACAAGTGCAGTTATAATATATAATAGGTTGAAATCATAATATACTGACTGACCCAAGGATCACATGCAGGCTGCTCCTCTGCAAAAGTTTGGGGGAATAACGTTGCGCTCTGCCCTTCTGACGTGGTGATCTGTTGCAAGGGAAAAGTTCTAAGTGGATGAAATATCATTCAAACATTTAAAATATGATAAAAGTAATTTATTGGAGATTCAAGAACACAGTTTAATAATGCGCCAATTGCAAGTCTTGCTAAGTGACAGCGGCTGGTATCAGCAAGCGCATCCGCTCATCCATTAGGGATTGCAGCGCCTCTTAATAACTCAGATTCTGACATGGTCATGTCAGATGAGAATTTGGTTTGTAGATATTTCAGCGTCCTAATTCGTACCGAAATTTGTATTTTCTCTAACCGAACGATATTTGTAGCTCTGCTTTTTGTACTCAAGTTCTTTAATAAAACAATATCCACAAAATTATGTAACATTATAAGCGACGGTTTGAATAGCAGTAGAAAAGTATTGTTCTGAGAACTAGATTGAAAAATATTTTCATCAATATTGTTGTATTCGCATAACAATGTTCTAATAAATTGAAATATTTTGCTAACAAACTGCAGTCAAAAAACATTTTCTGGTGAAACTGGTTTAATTTTCTCCCTCGTTATGGATCAGTAGCTGTTATTTTACAGCAATCATATCTATCCTTTTGTTTTCTTCATGAAGGGTTCAGCAAGGAGCACTTTGAAATAGATCAAATTTGTGGCGTACTCCCATGAAGTAGAAGCGAAAATAGTTGTCCACTGATATCTCTCACTAAAGCTGGTAGATTTTCTGTTGCATCGTAAATTGTACATATAATAATTCTTTTATACAAGTTCGATTGTAGACCACAGAGTTAATTTTCACAATTTTTTATTATCACTATTTTTTATATATTTTCAAATCAGCTGATCCTTGTTTTGCGCTGGCGTTTTTGGATTGTAAAGCATGTGCAAAAATTTTCATATATAAAAATTTTTTCGGATGTTGCAACATTATTTATCAAGCTATTAGAAGAAAAGAAATAAATAAAATGGCTATAGCTGAAACCCTCATCATCAGGGATGAGACATGAGCAATAAATCTAAATACAGGATTAGTCTTGACTTTGTATATTTTTACTAATATTTAAATTCAAATCTTTTGATAACTTGAAAATGAATGTTTTAACATCCAAAATGTCGCTGATGCATTAAAACATTCGAAAGCTGCTTATTGATCTGTTAACGCCACCTAAAGACATGGCTTAGATAATCGAAAAAAGAAGTAAAATTGCAAAAAGAAAATAATTTCTGGTTTAAATAGAAGTTATATATAAGAAGAAATTCTGTCATCCTATACTGGTTTTTCATTTTTCTGTACTCACCTTTAATTAAGTATTATTTAATATTTAAATACTCCTAATATGATTCCAGTTGCATATAGACGAATTAATTTATCAGTGTATCCAAGAATATAATTTGGCTCAGGAATAGCTCAATTGCTCAATGCATCCAGTGAGCGGAGTTACGTGCCATCAAAGTCGAGTGAAGTGTAGCTTGCGTGTTAAGCTATGTTTTAAGGACATGCGAGTTAGTATATCTCTACATCAAGACGCCAGCGATAAGAAGTCCACAGCGTTTTATGCATGCATTATTAAGATGTCAAGAGAGTACCTGAGACAAATTAGTTGAGGAGATCAAAGCTGTCGTCGAGTCGGTGGCGTACGAAAGCTCTTCGCTGCACTGGGTCTGATGAAAATAGAGTAAAGTAATAGAGTTTGAGCTGAATTTATTGATTTTTAAAGATTTGTTGAAGCGTTACAATTAAAATTTATAAAGGATTTATTGAAATTTTATATTCCGAACTCTGATTACGATACTCAAGGCTCAAAGGTTAACAGTAAAGTTTGTTGCATTAATTTCCATTGCATTTATCAGTGCACGTTCTATAAGAGACTTATATGTAAATAGCTTCCAGCCAATACGCATGCTGCCTCCATTCAAGCCTCGCTATAGGTAGTAAGGCAAATAAAAGGTAAATATTTCATATGCCGTTAATCTAAATTCCGGAAAAACAATCTAGTTAGCATTTCTCGGACCAATTCCTATGGACAGGTAATCAGACAAATGAACATCGGGTCAACGCCAGTCAATTGCCTGTCTTCTGCAGCAGAGGCCGCGGCCCTCCAGCAAAAGACTGTAACGAACGCGCGCGTCATCTTTCAATGCAATGCAATTTGCCCTTCCAATAATACCCTGTAATATTGTATAATACTCTGTATTATAAATAATATTAATAATAACACTTGCGAGCGCAAGAGTAGCACTAAAGGGCTCAGATTTAGCTTATATTTTTTATTATTTTAAATTAATATATTGTTGTATATTAATGACGAATTGAATACTAAAGTATTTAATAGTTGTTCATTTATACACCTAAATAATTTATCGTAAATTATTTGTAAAGCGTTATTTATATGATTGGTCATGCTGCAGCATAACGTTGGCTTCGGTCAAGGAGCTAGTGAAGAGAGACGAAAAAGAAAAAGCGGCATATGTTTGATCGCTGTTAAGACAAAATATTCGGGTCTGCTGCCTGCTGAAGCATAATATCATTGCTCATACCGTGATAAAAAAAAGAAGGCAAAAAGGGTCTCATCAGGGACCGCCGAATGGTTATGGCCTGATCATCGAATGAAATGTGGGCGGGCAAGGAAAAATCTGTGGCCGACTGGCGGTCATTTAGTGGCAGCAAATAACTCGTGTGTGGTGAGCTGTCAGTGCGTACGAAGCTTCCTTTTGCAGCAGTCCAATAATGCTGAAGATTAGCATGCAAATGCAGCGGGGCAGAACGAACTAATTAATGATCTATTGTGTGCACAAATAAGATGCATTGCCGGCTTCACGTTTAGTCTCCATCGATTTTGCGCGGCATCTGTATCGTGTGGAGAGAGGCTATATAGACACGTGCAAACTTTCTAGTGGTCTTTGAGTTTATGGAGGAGTAATTACATTTGATTTCCTTACTATCAATTCTTGGAAGGTGATTGTGTGCAGTATGTTATTACGTCTGCAAAGAACATCACACAATTGGTACGATCGAAGGGCTTCAGAACTGAGAATTAAATTCCGCCAGTAAATGAGGGCGAATTCGAGTTCGAAATAACAAAGTCCAATGAGCGTCATCTCAGGAAGGGTCCAGGGCCTATACTTTCAATAAAAGTTAAGAGATCGTAAGTTCATCAGCCAATCATTGACGGCCTTTCAAGCAAAATCCACCAATCATAGACAAGAAAATAGAGCGTAAGTACTTACGTTCATTTAGCGAGTTTTGAAAGTATGGCCCCAGGAAAACAACAGCGATCACAAATCGTTGTTTTGCGCTTCTTCCTTAAAAATAAATCATTTAAGCTGCAAATGATCAGGTTTGATGCATTAATAGCATTTTTTCCGACGGCACTATATGCTAAGTAGTGTTTTGCACTAATGTTTACGACTTGATACTAAAATCGCCACACTGGAACCATTACAAGACTATGGTACGTGAAAACAACGTTGCAGATTTATTTGCATTCTTGAATTAAATGGACAGTTTTATTCATTGTCAGTTGCTAAAAATTTTAATCTATATTACGTTCATTATAGATTTAGCATTTAGCTTTTATACTTTTTAAATTCTTATCGCAAATTAGAGTAATGAAAAGGCGGTTGACAACCTCTCTCAATGAAATCTGTGAAATTTTATTGAGATATTTTTTTCTATATTCTTGGTTCAACATTTAAATTTTCAAATCAGCCCAACAACGGTCAACTTTGACCTGCATTCACTGCTAATCAGGGGTCCTCCTGATGGCTTATCACTTATCAGTATACCACCGTTGAACTTCACGCGCATCATAGGACGCAGTGCTGCATTTACCCAGAGACGGACCAGTCATAATTTATCCAGAGAGGGACCAGTCATAATTTATCCAGAGAGGGACCAGTCATAATTTATCCAGAGAGGGACCAGTCATAATTTATCTAGAGAGGGACCAGTCATAATTTATCCAGAGAGGGACCAGTCAAATTATGACTGGTCCCTCTGTGGATAAATATATATATATATACTTTTTGCCCTGTAATTAAATCCTATTAAATTACAAGACGTAGTAAAATATTCAGTCTGAGCAAAGCTGACATCTTCTTTAAGGAGGATAGCATAAAATATTGGTTGGATAAAAATAGCGTTGGCAGGAGGCACCATGTAACATTCACCCCAAGCTTTACTATAAATTTTCAAGCCACTGAAAGCTCATATAAACATAAATTCTAAATCCCTCTTATTTTAAATCTGTAATAGTATTACTGTTGTTATGTTAATTGTTTCTCAAGAAATCAAGTTCTATCAAGCTGCCATGGCTGAAGACCACGGCAACTAAACTCACGAGGTTGCCGAGAGCAGCGAAGCATAAGCCGACGCTGATGAGGAGGAAGCCAAGGATGCGGACGCTCAAAGACATCATGACGAATTTTTCGGCGTTCAAAAAGGTTCTCAGGAAGCAAGTGACGTCCTCGTCAGCAAAATAAGGATCGTCTTGGTCCTTGAGCTTGAGGCATAGCCGAGACAGCCAACACACTGGCAGCAGCACCAGCAGCACCGATAGCACTGACAAACTGGCGTACAGACTCAAACCAATGCTGCCGATACAAAATGTGGAACATAAGTTATGAATGGTTACATTGTTCTTGCATGCTATTTTTCATTGCATTTCCCTCGCTGAAGTATGCTTTCATTTTGCACATAATTGGAAATATGTCTAGGTGAAATTGAATTTTAATGAATTCATTTTCATGATATTTATAATTCTTCACTTAAAATGTAACGTGAGTTCTATTTCTTGAGATTTGCGTAAGACGATTGCATATTAGATGATCGTGTATGAAAAATTCTATTGCGTTTATTTTATATTCTATTAGGCTTTTTAAAGGAATATTAATTATGCTGCTTGGAATATGTAATAAAGCATCGGCTAAACCATGCTTCAGGAACTAGAACACCAATCGATTATTTTCAGCGGAGATATAAATTTTCGCTAGCTGCAATTGTGTTCAAATTCTTGGTGTTACCCCGGATACATGAGGTGCTGGGTGACACCGATGGCGAAGACGGCGCAGAAGGCACACAACAGGTAGTACTTGTAGAGCGGGTCAGGCTGACAGACGAATGCCAATCCCCACTTGAAATGCTTGAATGTCAGGAAAACAGGGTTGATGTCCTCCGAGTGACACCACTGCCTGCGTGTAGTGTTAGGTTACTAGTTAGTTCAGGGTGATTGGTTTGGTTGACGTCCTCCGAGTGACACCACTGCCTGCGTATAGTGTTAGGTTTCTGTTAGTTCAGAGTGATATGGTGTGGTTGATGTCCTCCGAGTGACATCACTGCCTGCGCGTAGTGTTAGGTTACTAGTTAGTTCAGAGTGATATGGTGTGGTTGATGTCCTCCGAGTGACATAGTGTTAGGTTACTAGTTAGTTCAGGGTGATTTGGTTTGGTTGATGTCCTCCGAGTGCCGCCACTGCCTGCGTGTAGTGTTGGGTGACCAGTTAGTTCAGCGGGATGTGATGAGTGTAGTTTTTCCGTGGGGCTTAAAATGTTTGTTTGTCAATGCTCGACAGCCAGATGGCCGAATCTAAACGATATGCATGATAGTTTATTGATGTAGCGAGTTCGTTGGGCTGCAGCTCTGCCATTGGGTTCATCCACTGTATGTTGATTACTCACGAAACCTGGATTTACATGTGATCTGGTCCATTATTTCACTAAGCAACACTTTTATTCAAGTGGTCTCAATTTAATTTAATCGAAACCATACCAGGAAATATGTTATAGCATGACCGGATTTTTTTGCCTTATACATTGATTTATTGATTTGAATCCCAGCTATTTAACATGTAATTTATAAGTCAACTAAGGAAGAACTGCGACTGTTTCAAAATCTGCGAATGTTGCATTTTATTTAAAGTTACACATACATTTACCTACGCTTCTACTCAGATGCATGCGTTTATTCATGCTGTACGTGATACTCGGTAGCATAAGTACATATTCTCGTGCTTTACTACTCACAGACACTCGTTAACTCATTCTGCTTGATCAGAGACACTGTTGACTCTGAAATATATATTTACACACCCACACTTTTATTAATGATCTTTTTCTGCGTAACACACGTTCTCTCATGCTCATTTACTCATTGGCATACCGCTACTCACGCTGTTTTACTCAGAGGCATCTTTTCAACCTCTTCCTTCATGGCCACTTCTGACTTGTCAATGATGGATGTTATTTGGCTGGCCGCTGGTGACTTGGAGGATCGAAGCTGTGGGCGAATGCGTTGCTAATTAAATGAAACAGCAGGAACAATATTAATGATATGAATGAGTCACACGCATGCGTGAGTATGGATCAACTTGATGTCGCCTGACTTACGGTAATCGAATAATTTACGATCATAACTCATGGTAGCGAGCACTCATAGCGAACGTTCGATGGAATTCAGGCGCATTCTCAAAATGTTCACTTGATTTTAAGTTCATAGATCATCTGTGGCTATAATGTCAAAAAATAGGTACGATATCGTAACCCTATCAGCTAATCACCAAGTGCTCGTCAAGCTAACTACATATCCTTATACGTATCACAGATAAGACATCGGGGGCTACGTGCATCTATTGAGTTTCCATAGAACGGTCCGGTTGTTTCTACCATTAGTTTACTTAAATCCACAGTTAACTAATAAATTTAATGAAATGAAAATACCAAGTAAATTCACCATAAATATCTCAATCGATTTAGTTGGCGCTGTCTGTGCTTTTAAATTCTTGGCCATCGGATGTTGCGATATTTCGACCGTAATTTCTTGTCTATATGAGTACCAGAGTTAAAATTATAATTTGTTGATATGAATTATGACAGGCCAAAATGTTGGAGATATTGCATCATAGAACATGTCAGGCACAGGAATTATAAATCGCATTATGCTTTAGGATGACTTGCACAAGCTGAGAAGCTTTTAATCATGGAATGTTTTGGAATTTGATTCTCATGCATAATGAAATTTACTGTCCCGACCCGGTACGAATTTCGAAATTAAAATTAGTTAATGTGATATTCCGATATGTTATTTCCTTACGATTAAATGTTCCGTGGTCAATTTTATTTTAACAAATCTGATTAACTGATGACAAGCTAAAGATTCCTATACTATCTACTATATAATGTAAGACTTTGTAACAAACATGTCCTCCTTATGGCTGATGATAATACATGACGCTGATTAAATCAATTACGAGATTTTTAGGATTAAATAAACCGAAGCCCATTTTGACCACTCTATATCACAAGATTTTTTTCTGATTATAGTTGAACGGAAACCCCATTAGATTACTCTGGTTCTTTGGGTGATCTGCTCCTTGGTCGACTCCGCGATCTCGTTAACTTCGTATTCGTGGTCGACGCTCTGCGTCTTTGGCTGTAAATTCACCATCGCGTTCCTGTTGATCGAAGAGTTGCGGGACAACGCAGACTGACGCCGTATCCGATTGTCCTGGAAAACGCAGGCAAAACAGGTTTTTACGTCACTCAATGAGAATAAAGTCGAAGATTAACTTTAATCGCTGACTCACGCCGTGCCTGATGTCATTTGTCAGCAGTGTTATTTTCTAAACGAAATGTCCGTGTGTATCCTGCCATATAGAAAAATTTCAAACCAATTTATGGATACAATTTGATTAGGGTTTATTAGTGATTAAATGAAACGTTACATTCCGATGACTGTGTACTTATGGTTCGTATTTAGTGAATTAAAACAAAATTTTCAGTGATGGCAGTTGGCGAGCGTGGAAAGTTCGACCCATATTTTTCCTGCCAATGTCCATCACTACAATGGGATGTGAAGTTGTCATAAAATAATATATAAATAATATTTTTCATCCTCCACTGTTAAGTACTATACAAGAGAGAAATACATTCTGGTAAAATTTGGGCGTATGGTTCGGTAAAGTACACGCAATCGCAGAATTAAAATAACATCGAGCTGCTTGTCCATTAGTGAGATTATTCGCTCTATTTTCTTTTGGATAAAATAAAATCCATTTTCGGCACTCGTGGACGAACGAGTTCTGGAAAATTGAACCGAATCAAAAAATTTTTATTCGCTAAATAACTGATGAAAATTATTTAGTAATGAACCGAAACTCAGAGACCTCAGCAATAAATTAATTTTATTAAGGTGTTTATTTTATATATTCGTGTTCATTTTAATGAACATGAATATTGGGAATCTTGATGAAAAAAAACACGAATCTCTTCTGGCAGACGAGCTCCTGAAATTCGGCTTCATGCGACTTCTTCCTTATAGAATTATTTGCGTTAATCGTCCTATAGAAAACTTCAAGACAATTGTTCGGAAGGCTATTGTTGCAATGATACATCAGAAATTGACTCAATCAGGGCCTAGCAAACGGCAGCCGTCATTTGATAGATGCAATTTTCAAAACTGCATAAAAAATTATTGGGAAGGAAGAAACTGGATTATGCCGACAGTTTCGAATACGAATAGTTTCGTTAGTGTTAATTTTTCAAAAAGAAGTACTTTTAATTGACCTTGTATCTCAAGATTGCTAATCAGCCTTTCACGCAACAATATTAAGTAACTCGGAAAAGTTCATTTATCCGCTTTTAAAACGGCAGACATACTCGTGTTAGAATCCAGATCGAAGAAGATCTGATCCAAAAAGAAGTATTACATATTTCTACTTAACCGATTTACTTTTATGGAGTTTCAAATCCGAAAAATTGTCGAAGTAACTCATTTAAGTCAGCAGATATTACCGACCGCCGTGAACGGAAATTCAGACTCCAGAACTTGAATGGAGTTTGCTAACTTCCTACAAGAGTTGAGTGCGGCCAGGATTTTTAATCGAGCCGATGTTTCAGTATTGAAACTCTCACGCTTTTGGACTGAACTACTTTAACCAGAGAAATTTTGCTGAAGCAAATAAAATGCCCAAAAAATCATCATGTTTGATATGAAACGTGGTTCTGAACGTTCTTACAAAACTGAGAAAATTCATTCACAAGTAAAATTTTGTGAATTATCCCTTGTAATTTCTTTGCTATTGACTACATTGTATACTTCATATACAAGCAATCAATTGACCTAATACGCGTTAACCAGCCTTGCTGCTGCCACTCACATCGAGTTCCACGACGAGGTAAGTATCAATGTTTTCCTGGTCCAGTAGGTCGTCCTTGAGACGAGCGTTGTTCGGAATAAATTGGTACTTGCCAGCAGGCAAGAAGTTCCTGGTTTGCGACGTGATGTGAACCTGCCTGTTGGTGAGGAACTGTTAAGTCTATGAAAAACAAGTTTCCAGTGCATCTAATTTGCCCTCGCCAAGAATTTTAAATAGTTTAGAGACGAATAACATTTTAAAGGTTATTATGAAATTAACAAATGAAATGAAACCAACACCAGAACGCCAATTGCTGAACGTCATAAGTGACCGTGGTCAGAAGGTGCAGTCAGAAGGTGCAGTCAGAAGGTGCAGTAAGTCAGAATTAAGGTGCATCAAAGTTGCCCTTTAAGCCTAATTTTAAAAATGAGGCTTGTTATTGCACAACTAAGCCATTCGAGGGCAACTATTGACGTATGATGCGAAAATTCCAATTTCAGTATGCATAAAAAGAAAGTATGAACCATTCTAAGATATATTTACCTCTATGAATTTTCTGAAGTTCTGCGTATTGAAGGAGTAAATTGCGGTAAAAGAATGTATTAAATACGGTTACTACGCTAAACAAATTAGATAATTTAAATTTAAAGATGCAAATATAAAGGGAAATTATCCAATTACATTTCCCTACTATTTCATCAAATGATATTTACGTAGTAGTTGAATGGAAATTGCTACTTTTGCTTTCTAAAAAAACTACGTAAAAAGCGTCCATTTGGCATTTCGTGTCAAAACTGTCATTTAAATGCTTATATTTTAAATATTGGGCATAGTATGGGACAATGTTATGTATGGAACGAAGGTCACATGATTGCTGATTGGCTGAGGCATAATTGTGAATCTTTTTAAAAGTCTTTTCTGTGTCATTTTGTAGGAGATTTTAAGGGCCATAAAAGGTCATTTTGCCAGCTAAAGGGTTAAAATTGCTAAATATTATAAAAAATCGTATATTGTTGATGTGTAAAATTCTAATGTTCAAGGAAAATATATTAGTATAAAAGGATGAAATTGTTAACATACGCAATAGTTTGTTAACAGTGCACATTAAAAAATGTTAGCTGCTGGTGGCATGCATGTAATGTTGGTTCAATGTTAAACAATTTTACTTTTATCTGAAGTAATTGTTCCAGAGAAATATATTCTTCATGCTCTCATATTGAGAAAATCATGAAGCAGAAATAAGACAATATGTGTGTACCCGGCCGTTGTTAGTGTGAGGGTATGGCTGGCCAAGAATTACTGAATGAAACAAGCCGTTGTTGGTGTTGCTGACTATGGCTAGCAAAGAATTACTGAATGGAACAAGCCGTTGTTGGTGTTGCTGAATATGGCTGGCAAAGAATTAATGAATGGAGCGAGCCCTTATTGGTGTTGCTGACTATGGCTGGCAAAGAATTAATGAATGGAGCGAGCCCTTATTGGTATTGCTGACTATGGCTAGCAAAGAATTACTGAATGGAGTGAGCCCTTATTGGTGTTGCTGACTATGGCTAGCAAAGAATTACTGAATGGAGCGAGCCCTTATTGGTATTGCTGACTATGGCTGGCAAAGAATTACTGAATGGAGCAAGCCCTTATTGGTGTTGCTGACTATGGCTGGCAACGAATTACTGAATGGATTATTGGTATTGCTGACCCGCGTTCTCCAGTTTGCTCCATGTGGTTGGCGATGGTGACGTCGTTGCTCCAGACGTCGTACTGCCACTTCTTGGTACCGAGCACTCCAGACAGAACGCTGCCGCTGTGGATGCCTATACGCATGTCCACGTCCACGTTGTGTTGCTCACTGCGTGCATCGAACAGGACGACATCAGAAATTTTACGCATGTATAAAGCTATCGTTGTTCAGAAAAGCCATTGTGAGAAATTTCATGATGAAATAGTAATTTTGTAAAAATAAAGCCAAAAGTCGTCAAGAATTTCTAAAAACTGGATCTACCTTTTAAAAATAATTGGCATCCTGATATATGACTTGAATTGTCATAATAACATCCTTTTTAATGAATGAAAGATTGTAAAAGTGAATCTACCTCTTAAAGATAATTGTCATGGTAAAATATGACTTGAATTCTCATAATATCCTGATCAATGCTTGAAAGATTCTTGCTGTAGACCAGTATAAATTCTCACAAACAAAGAATCAAAATTATTATATGAATTGGCTTGTTTCTGAATAACAACTTCATCAGACACGCATAAACAACATGGCTTTAGTGCAAGTCTGTAGTGAAAATAATGATTTTCATTGACGTAAAATATATAAGTTTGCTCATCGCACGTCCCGAATATGTAAGTTTGCTCACCGCATGTCACGAATATGTAATTTTACTCACGGCACGTCACGACTATTTAATTTTACTCACGGCACGTCACGAATATATAAGTTTACTCGTCGCACGTCACGAATATGTAAGTTTGCTCACCGCACGTCACGAATATGTAAGTTTGCTCACCGCACGTCACGAATATATAAATTTACTCACCGCACGTCACGAATATGTAATTGTACTCACCGCACGTCACGAATATGTAAGTTTGTTCACCGCACGTCACGAATATGTAAGTTTGTTCACCGCACGTCACGAATATGTAAGTTTGTTCACCGCACGTCACGAATATTTAATTTACTCACCGCATGTCATGAATACGTAAGTTTACTCACCGCACGTCACGAATATATAATTTTACTCACCGCACGTCACGAATTATTTCGATCATGTCAAAGCCCATGAGGACACAGTTGTCTGCGTGGTCGGGCTCGTGCTGCGGGACGCCGGACACGCAGTAGTAGCAGTCGCCCAGGATCTTGATGCGCAGGCACTTGTGTTCCTGGCACATAAAGGTAACACGGTCACACGGACGGGTTTTGCAAATGTAATACAATTCACTATACGGTACACGCAAAACTGTGTTCTTGGCACGTCAAGTATGCGGTTACACGGTAGAGCTTTGCAAATGTAAAGGCAGAGAGTTGATTTTTTTACTCGCATTAAATGCAGTCCCCGAGACAACTATACAGTACACGCAAAACTGTGTTCTTGGCACGTCAAGTATGCGGTTACACGGTAAAGCTTTGCAAATGTAAAGGCAGAGAGTTGATTTTTTTACTCGCATTAAATGCAGTCCCCGAGACAACTATACAGTACACGCAAAACTGTGTTCTTGGCACGTCAAGTATGCGGTTACACGGTAGAGCTTTGCAAATGTAAAGGCAGAAAGTTGAATTTGTCACTCGTATTAAATGCAGTCCCCGAGCGGTGCTAGAAAAGATCGTGACACATTCAGGCTCACTTCAATTTCGGTGATGCTATAGAATGGTCCGTTGAACTCCGGCGGTACGCCGGAGCTCGTGTTTTAGAAGTAAGCTTCAGGTTTTCCCATGTCATGCTAACATATATTGTAATTCTAATCATCATCAGTCATGAAAAGAGACATCAGAAGTATAAAAAAACTCTCATACAATCGCATTTGCAATAGTACCTACAGTACGCCTCCATGACGAACGCGGCAATCATATACAGCTTCGGTGGCTTCATTTTCGATAAGTACACAAGCTTAATTGCTGATATCATTCGTGCTAAGATCATAAGATATTTAAAGGTATGAAACAAAGAGAAAAAGGATTTTTACATTTTATAATTAACTGTGGCAAATTTTGTTCTCCATTAGTTTTTAATGAATCGACTGGACTGGAATCGTTATAGCAAATGCTTTGATTTCGCATTGTTTAGTGCCAAAGAAAATTAACTCCAATCGTGCATGACGACCGTGAGTCGCGCTTAGCTTGAGCGGTTTTATTCTATATGGTCAGCTGAGAAAAAAATGCTTTTTTTATTTTATTCGGCCTGCGAGCGGGCAAAGGCTGGAAATCACTGATTAATAATATAATGACTGCACGCACCAAAGGGTAAAAATTTCCTTATTGCAAAGTCCAAAATATCAGGGTTGCAGGTATCAGTATAATTTTTGCAACAAGGTACCAGTATATTCAGTATACTGATATTTTATCAGCATATTTTTTCCGACATACAGCATTTAATTGCAAATATTAGTTACTGCTGGCCTTGATTTGGTTCGGTAATTTCAAAAACTTGACAATATTTGTTTCCCGAGTCCAATAGTTAATTCGTCATTACCCGGGGTAAATAGTCCCTGAGATTTTAAAAATCCTTTTATTCCGAATATTGTCATCGTGAATCTCGCTATTTTGAATCCCGTCATCTCGATTCCCATTATTCAGGTACATTTTGTCCTCATTATTCACAGACATATATTCGAATTTTATCCGACATTTGAGAGAAATTTAGCAGACATTTTGCAAAAGTTTATTCGATATTTGTTTGGGATTCGTCCTAGATTTGCCCACGATTTGTTCCAGATCTATCTGACATTTTTCCGATATTTGTCCGACATTATTCAAATCTTTATCCTAACTTAATCTGAACTTTATTTGAACTCTGAGCGACCTTTGACCAAACTTTGTTCGGAAGCCTTCTGAACTTTATCTGATTTCAGTCCAATTTTTCTGTCAGAAATTCCTATGAACTTTGTCCGAAATACTTCTTTGTCCGAACATTTTCCTAATTATGTCCCGCACTGTGTTGCCCAGGATAGCTAATCATGGGTAGCGCGCTATCTCGCAACGCAAATCCAACCATCTCGAGTCCTGAAATTCGTCCTCCCGAAACCTATCATCCCAAATCCCGTAATCCCGATGAGTAATTGGATCCTAATCCCACCGAAACCCTAGCCTATCCCTCTGCTAAGTATGGATTTTCAGGTAATACCCCAACACAAAAAGTATCCTTGATACGACCCGTTACCAAGATTTGCTTTACTTTGACAGATATACATTTTTCTAGTTTCACAAATGACGAGTAGTAATAAAAGAGCTCACATGAGCAACAACATATATCCCCATACCTTTGCAGCAGCGTCGAATTTCCTGAAGAGTTCGTTGAGCATTTCAACAAGCTTGTGGACCTTGAGTTTGGTGGTCAGAGGCGTGAAGTTGCAGATGTCAGCGTACAGAATTGAGACTTCATTGTGCCTCTCCAGGAACAGGTTGCTACTGTAAGTTTAACATTATATTAGTTACTACTGTGCATGTAATATTATGCTAGTTGCTAATGTAAGACTAAATATTATTCTAATCGTAACTGCAAGGTTAATATTTTAATTGTCACCCGATCAGGTCAAATATTTTATTGATAGCTACTACTAGAAAAATATTGTGCTGGTACTGCAGCATGGTAAATTTTTTACTGACCGCTGCAGCAGTGAAATTTTATTGGTCGCTACAGCAGTGCGAATACTATACTAGTAGCAGCTACAGGTCACATATTTTACCGGTCGTTGCTGCAGGGCAAATATTTTATTGGGCGTTACTACTTCATGAAAGATTATTTACTGGCTGATACTGCAAGTCGCACTTCAACCAGGTACATATTAGTTGCGTTAGACGCACGTAGAACTGTTACTTATTAATATTAGACGAAGCAAGCGGAATTGGATATGAATATTGGACTGTGCTACGAGGTTTGACCCGATTTGCACCTCATTGTTGCTAGAGTGTGAACCAAAACTTATAAACAGTGTTTATTCGATAGAACAACTAGATCAAGACTCCTTTCATCGGTGGAACAATAAGAATAAGACTCCGTCCACCGGTAGAACAATAAGATCAAGACTCCGTCCATCGTTGGAACAATAAGATCAAGACTCCGTCCACCGGTAGAACAATAAGATCAAGACTCCGCCCATCGTTGGAACAATAAGATCAAGACTCCGTCCATCGGCAGAACAACAAGATCAAGAATTCGGTCACCGGTAGAACAATAAGATCAAGACTCCGTCCATCGGTGGAACAATAAGATCAAGACTCCGTCCACCGGTGTAACAATAAGATCAAGACCCCGTTCGTCATTAGAAAAATAAGAGCAAGATAACGTCCATCGATATAACAAATCGACCATCAAGACTCTGATCATAAACCAATCAGTAGTCGGAACACAAGTATGCCATGGACGAGGTAAAGCACTGCAATCTTAAGGTCCCTCACTCGGGGCCCTCTGGAGACCTGACCCCTCCCTCACTTGGAGGGCCGGCACGGAAGAAGGGGTGGGTCCGGAAACGACGCACTTAGCTTTAATGGCGCCTGCCAACAAAAACGGAGATTTTGCCTGCAAATTCTCCTGTAAGGAAGCTTTTTATTGTCGCTAAATAATTGGCAAGGAATGAAGCTGGGAGACTGTGCGCTGCTAGTGGGAGTTAAGAAACTGCCCTTTTTTGAAGACCCAAATGATGAACTTTGAGCTTTTGTTTAACTACTGGAACTTGCATGGCTTGAAGTCGAGAGAGTGTTGGATGCAAGGAAGGTTTCCACTTCTATTTATTAAGTGCCAACACTTCTATGTATATTTGTTTTTAGAATAATGTGAGTTAAATAAATTTGTATTCTAAATTCAAATTTACCATTGGTCAATGAACAAGAGACTTCTAACTCGCTTCTCTCGAGACAAGTACAAAGCTACAGTTTGTACTTATCTTTCTCTAAGTTGGAGGGAAATGCACTACCATGCATTCTGTAGTGCGAATTCATATTTTATGCAGGTAATCTTACTCCCGTCTATTTTATAATTTAAATGCAGCATAGCTTGCTTGGAACGGAATAGAGACTGAGAATACGAGAATATTGGCCGTCTATATAACTTGCGTCTACTCACTGGGGCATTTTACTGCTTCGGGCACTATTACAAAACCATTCTTAGTTAAAAAACACGTAAAGTCAATGTGCGTACGATTTTAATATATTTTTATAGCTAATTCTGCCAATAAAATTTACTGAGCAGCATAGTTTGTGTGACTTTGTGGAGCCTTTTTTAACCTCTAACAAACTTTTTGACTTTGTGAAACTATTATTCCTTATTATTTTTTTTTGAAGTTAAGAACGAATGATAAGCCTGAAATGATGAAAAGGCCTTCAAAGATTAAAATAATTATATGAATGCGAAAAGCAGTGAAGATTTTACCTGAAACGACCCATGCTTTTGGGACGAAAGTTTTCAGTCTCCATCTGATTACGAAACTCTTGCTTGACCTCCTGCATAATGGACGATGGTAGAATGGAAGACAGCAGGTCGTCCTCTTGTTTCTTGGCATTCTCCAACTGTCAGTATATAAAATATGAATTAATTTCAGCAAGTTATTTGTTCAATGCTTAACTTATTCACAATACGGCTCTAGGATATTATTTAGAATGTATTGGGGCGCAATGGTGGGACCGATATGTTAGAACAGTTAAAGTTTCAGATGATGACAATGTTTAAATAAATATTAATTACATGTGTGGTACTAAAAATTCATGCAAAAAATAGAATTTGTAAGAAATTCATTCTAAGAAAATCCTATGAAGCGATGTCCAAATTTGACCATGTAAGAGGAATATTCGATTTATCTAACAATAGTATATATAGTCTAGTTGCTGGGAAAGTATACGGAAAAGTTACAGAAGATTTAATTAACTTATAGCTAAGCTAATGGGTTGAACAAATTATATTACCCGAATACAACATAATATGACCTCTATAATGACCTTAATTATGCTCGATATTAAAATATTTTGCATTAATAGGCAAAATATGCAAAAAATACACCTATAAAAACTTTCATTAACGTCTAATTTAATTACTATGTTGAACAAATGAAACATTATTTTAACCTAAATAAATAATTGAAATGCGGTTGAGTTAGGCCTTCGCATTTAACAGACCGTATGTTTCGCGTGTAGGCCACGACGCTTATCGAGGAAGGCCCTCATGAAGACGATGTTGGTGAGATGACGAGAGTACAACCCCACCGCGTTACTCAGCAGCACGAACAGCACGGTCAGCGCCAGCTGCGACGTGTGCACCAGTTACACGAAATAAAGTTTATTGTTTTTTGATTGATTAATGTAATGTGACTTACTGTCACTAAATTGGCGACGTGTGTATCGGTTACACGAAATAAAGTTTATTGTTATTGGTTTTTGATTGTTTATTTTAATGTGACTTACTGTCACTAAATTGGCGACGTGTGCATCAGTTAAACGAAATAAAGTTTATTGTTATAGGTTTTTGATTGATTAATTTAATGTTACTTACAGTCACTAAGTTGCCTAAGTTGTTATAGTAATGATAGCAGCGTCGTTTCTTCAATTTATCCAAATTAAACTAAAGAGGAAAACTTTAGATTTTATTGCAGAACAATTGAAACAATGTGATGGATTTTCATACGATTTCAGGGCTATTATTTTTACACTACGACAGGAATAAACTGTGTTCTTATATTTATTTATTAAAAATGGATGTAGAAGCTTGGTTTCATTCATTGATTTCGTAAAGCGACTTTTACTCAAAATACATAAAAAGTTACATCTACAACGTATATTTCGATGCATTATTAAATCGTATAGAATAGAGCAAAAAAAATCATAATTTGAAGCAAGATGTTTATTTATTTTTATGTATTTATTAAATATAGATTTTCTATATTTATTTAGCACTTTATTATTTGAGAAATCATCGGGAGTATCTGCATTATTAGGTTAAAGTTCACCTTCTCTCCCAGAAATCATGAAAAGCAAGGCGACTTTCACCTTCCGTCCTTCAAGTTGCTTGGAATGGGACTCATTTTTGGCGTTGCATTCGCTTTTAAACCTTTGTAGAGTTGATTGCTTTATGCAGAATTACATTTAAGGAGACTGTGAATTCCACGTGACATCAAAATATTATTTACCTTTTTTGCTGGAGATGGTGAATTCCACGTAATATCAAAATAGAACTATAATCTTACCTTTTTTGGTGCCTCCGGTACGTGGTAATATCAAAATAGAATTATAATCTTACCTTTTTTGGTGCCTCTGGTACGTGGTAATGGAAGAGGACGGCAGCCTCGAGCCCGACGTGAGTGAGGGTAGTGAGGGCACCAGCCGCGAGGCGGTGCGTCTGGCAGCTGAACGGCAGGAACACGTACACCAGCACCAGCGAATACTGCGCATTGCCGTACTGCAGGGGAAATACGAGTCGAAAATCAACGTATTTTTAAGATAAAGTACTGCGCGTTGCCGTACTGCGGGGGAATACGGGTGCTGTGTGTACAAATTGTGAACGTATTTTTAAGATAAAGTNCGAGGCCGTACTGCGGGGGAAATACGGGTGCTGTGTGTACGAAATGTTAGTGTATTTTTAAGATAAAGTACTGCGCGTTGCCGTACTGCGGGGGAAATACGAGTGCTGTGTGTACGAAATGTTAGTGTATTTTTAAGATAAAGTACTACGCGTTGTGGTACTGCGGGGCAATACGAGTGCTGTTTGTACAAATTTTGAACGTATTGCTACTTCCTGAAAGATTACTTACAGGCTGATACTTTATTTACTGGCTGATACTGGCAACGCAGAAGTATTGCGCGTTGCCGTACTGCGGGGAATACGAGTGCTGTGTGTACAAAATGTGAACGTATTCTTAAGCACAAGTGTTGCTGATGCATAGAAAATTTGTGTGAGCTCTTAAAAGCTTCAAGTTAATTTAATATTTTTTGCGTACATAATGTCGCCAATAAAGATTTTTTATTATTGTTCAATTTAAGAACGCATACCAGTTTATTGTTGTGCTGCCATCGAGCACCTCCCATCGTCGCGGGAGGTGTGCATAAATATTTGTGTTTGCGGTTTATTTTTATTTAAGTTATTTACATTTATCTATATTTAATATTTGTTTTGATAGATTATACAACACTGCGGTTCTTTTGTAGAACTACTGGTTTGTCGACATGTGAGGTAAAAAGCGTACGCATATGTTGGGCTGAGTTCTAGGAAGCGTAAAACAAAATAAGCTTATATGACGAGCCCAAACGAAGAGTTGATGAACCCGAATGCACAAACAACATTATTCACAAGCAACGTTGCTGAATGGTGGCCGGAAAATTGTGTTTATTTGCGATTCGGCTTAAATGAACTTCTCAAGCGAACATTTACTGAAGATACCATAAAGTAATGGCTTGATCTTATGAATGAAATACTCGATACCAGAACTTGATACCTATTCGAAGACGAAAGTTGAGACAATTTATTATCATTTGATTACAAATTAAAAAACGCAAATGCTGATGGGTTTTAAAATAATTTTTGGGCGAGTCACATCTCTGTATGACTAATTTCAGTTGATCAGATAACAAGGTAGGGAATTAGGCAAGTAAAATTTCAAAAAAAATCTGGCTTAAAGATGATTAAAACGGCAAGAGATTCAATGAAGGGAGAGATGACTAGCAGGCAATAAAGATGTGAGGTGATGGACGCTAGAGATGTACAGACATTAGAACTTTTATTTAGAATGAATGAGAGGCATGCACTTGGCAATCATTGGCAGAATTTCTCCCAATTTATCATCTCAAGATATTTTTAAATCGAAGAACAGTATATTACCCAACAAAGTGAAATTATCACGAAGAAACATTTTTTAATGCTTGTTCACATATCATCGTTGAACAATTTTACACGGTGCCCTTAGTGTGTGTAGTTTAAACAACACACGAGTGCTATTTAAATGAAAATTCCAGTGGCCAATTTGTTCTTGTTTTCTCATTTCTTTCATCTTAGTATAATTCTCTTCTAGTCCCCGTTTAATTGCCCAGGATCAGACTTGCCTCCTGATCAGCGGTCTGCTGCTGGTGTGTTCGCTAGATAAGCTTTAATAGTATCTCGATTCCATTTCTTTGAAGAACTTGGACAAAACTTTGAGGAACGAGCTGATAAATGAAGATATAGGCAAGCAAAACAAGAATGAACTGGAGGCTAAAGAAATCTTTTCTTTATTTAAAAAGTTTCAAGATGGTATAAATAGCCATCAATTCCACGAGATAGTTAGTTTGGTGCTGCCTAATTTTGGTAGCGGCTCCTCTTCAATAAGCGTGAAGAGGCAAAGGAGCCGCAACTCGCTCCTGCGTCTGCCCAACCCGAAAATTCTGAAGAAAAGGAAACGGTGATCAGGCAAGGCACAAAGTTCAGCTCAAAGTAGGTGAAAAAACGCTCGATGCAATAAAAGGTCTTAAATGACAAAGTTTGCAATCGTAGCAAAAGTAGGTCGAGCTGGTGCAACTTGCTGCCACACGTTCCGAGTAAGAGCAATCTTTATTATTGGATAATCATGAATGAAGTCTTAAAATTACCAATAAATATTAGAGTATGGATAATTACGGGCTTTATTATTTATTCGGGTTTCCAGTGAAAAGGAACAGGATTTAACACCTCATCACCGCTTGCTCCGTGCCTACGAAGATAGGGTGACGTACCTGAAGTGCTAAAAAATCCTTCGGTGAATCGCTGGTGAGGTGCCGCTTCTTGGAGCTGATCCACGCCCTCGCAGAGGTAAGATGCCGGGGTCAAGGTAGTGGTATCATCCAAAACGTCAGGTGTACCATCGAGGTAAGTCGTAGCGCAGACGACATCCACTTCAGCACGTGCCCACGCATGCGTCCAAAGTCCCGACTGAGCTCAAGCTAAGCTTCCATGGGTTGCTTTAATCCATAGTTTCCAAGGTGAACAGGAGCCAAAGATTCTTGAAAAGGTTAGTCCATACCATCGAACTTGAAGCGTAGACAGGAGAGTTTCAAAATGAATCCGGCCCAAAACAGCACCTTAGGAGTTGCTGCCGTGAGGTCAGGCAACGAACTGGCACAAATTCTTCAGAAAAAGTGAAGTTAAGTATTGGGCGAGATGTTAGTTTCAAGTGGAATGTGCACATTAAAACTACTTCAAACGTCACCCAAATCATTTGTGGCACAGAGCAGGTGAGGATGGAAAATTTATGCCCGGAATTTATCAAACATTAAATTAATGAAAACTAAATCATAGTTTTTTGATCAGAACTAGATGTAATTTATTTCCTTACTGAACGATTTCTAGGTCTGTAACTTTCATTTAATTCCTAACCTAATAAGATAGGAATTAAATACATAGAGTAAATATAAATGATTTTAGAATCTAAACTTAATTTACTTACATTCAATACTCTGAATTTAAATCTGTTACGCAACTCAATTACGATTCCATAACCGTAGAAAACAATCATAAAATCTTGTCTAAAATGAACATCAATGTAGACAAGAGTTGATAATAATCAAGCGTTACTTTCTTATCTGGATGCAGGACAGAAATATTTCGAGATTTGTTAAAAGGGATAAAACTATAAAGCGGAGATGTGAGGCGAAACCTCACACATTATTTTGGAGTAGAATTCGGACGTTACTAGTCTGTTTTTCGTAACCAAATTTTTGCAACATGAGTTAGTTACGGTTTACATATAAACGGACGACAGTACAGAACCTTGACGAGTATAAGTAGACATGGCTCTTACCGGTGCGAGTTACGACGGTCGATGAAACCCGTGCTTCAATTCTCTAATGACTAATCACTTAATTCTTCTTATTACAATTAACGGCGTCGTTGGGCGAATAAGTTAACTACATAAGAGACTCTACAATCTACAGCAGAAGCTAAGTTTTAGAGTTTGCTACAGTGACGTCTGGATTATAAGCACTCCTGGATTAATGAGCGGGAATCAAATAAATTTGTTGGTCACAGTCGGGAACTGATCAGATCTTAATTAAACATTTTTGAGGTAACTTTTCTACCCGTAACTCACCTCCCGAATGAAATCTGCGTACACACTTTTTAATATTTTTAATAATATTTTAATATTTAATATTTTGCAATATTTTTAAATTGCAGTTATAAATTGCACCACGTGACTTTAAACCGTGCATAAAATGCATAGTTCCCGTGTCTGGTACTTCACGTTTTCTCCACAGTCGTTACGCTCAGTTTTATTAACTGATTGGTATGGTTTATTTCACAATCTGTCTCATTATATTTTATAATACCGAACACGAAGACGGACTGCACTGTACTATCATTTTCTCTGATTGACTTGGGTCACGAATTTAAGGACAACCGGTCTACATAGCCCCGTATGCCAGTTATATTGAATAATTTATTATTTGTGAAGTGGGCAGGAGCTTGCTGAAGAGCAAAAAGTACTAACGGGGGTGCGTCAGGAAGTGGAGCTCGTTGACTCAGCAACAAAATAAAGTAGCCATAGATCTGTCGTTGAAGTGATTACAGGCCTAAGGGTAGATTTTGGCCAAGCTACGTAATGATCTGCTGGTCTCAGAGCTCTTGGAATTTTTCGGTTTGTGTGGCGGATTCCTAATCAAAATATGTAAATTCCAACCAAGAAAATGTCACAACTTTATGGTATCGGGGCCGTGAAAGAATTTCGGTCGATGGAATGAAAACGCTGGCTTGAAAGGTTGAACGAGCTCTAAAGTTTCCGATCAAGATTGCATTTGAGTCCACTGCCAAGTTATTCATTAGCTTATGCTCATGCTTAACTTGGGTCGTTGCGAAGCTTGGACCTAATGCAAGTGCAGCGGTGTGAAATAGAACGACAGCCTCTGATCAAAACCTAATGGGCTCGTAACAGCTCGTGACGCAGCACTCTAAGAGGTCGAAAATAGAATGACAGCCTCTGCTCAGAACATATACTAGGAATGAAAAATGTTGCTCATGGCATATTAGGTCAATTGGTGCGAAATGGAACGAATTCTCCTACTAATGCTAAGGACCTAGTGGGCTCGCAACCAACTTGCGACACAAAGTCAAACGAGTCAAACGCCCATGCAAGAGTCAGTTCACAGCCTTGAGGCTGTGATGCCACCCGCTTGGGTCAACGGTTTGGATGAGCAAGCGTCGCTAGCGTTTTTTGTCTGCGCTGATGCCATGACCTTTCTTGTAGTCTCTGTAATTTTAAAATTATCCGAATTTCTGTGTTGAATAAATATGTTTAACTAAATGATTTGCGATCAAATGCCATAGACAGAAATACTTTACATGTCACGACTTGAAACGATATAAACTGCTCGTTCTGTGTGTAACATTTTGTTTGAAACAGTGAACTCAATGACATAAATCTCCATGGCTGCTACTTCTGCTGCCAATCTCAATGTGTACACGTGATTTGAATACCTATATCTTTATTTGGCAACTTCATGAGCACGGAGGTTCTTAACTCCGACGATTGTGGCTAAAAATTTCTTCTTGACTCAGATCCATATGAGCCAGTGCATGACCGTCAGCAATACGATAACGAAGAGTGGTTGTTCAGATGCTTGTCGCGGCGATACTTGCTAGTGGCAGTCTACCGTTAGAGGAGAGGAATACTCGCATGCCTTTTAGGTGAAAACTTCGTCTCTGACTCGTAATAAAACAATCCGCGTCTTGATTTTGTTCTGAAGGCTCACAAAGCAGTGCTGCGCGTTTTAGTTTTGAGTGTGTTGAAAAATGAATCTTAGAATCTAATGCACATTTCAAGGGTGCGCACCAGGCACAATTTACTCGTTTTGTACAAAATGAGTAGGTAAAATAATTTAAATATTGATGTTTGAATCCTCGGGCGATCTATTTCATAATAAATGTAAATGATTCAGTGGAAACCAAGAACATTGATGCATGTCTACCAAAAATTATTTCAAGCATGCAACTCGTGTGGAAGCATCTGCGTTGCGTATTTTGAAAAAAACACAGCCTATCTTATCGGTAAAAATAATGTGATGTAACTTTATTTATCACTGATGAACAAAACGCAAGAATCATGGCAACTGTAACGCGCATTTACATTCCTGGAGTTTTCAAATGCTTGATTATGCCTTTTTGCTGTGATAAACTGAGATTTTTGCTGTGATAGCGGTACATTCTAGATAAGATTGCAAGACTCGTCATGCTATGCACTCGTACCCCCAATAAGATAGTACAGACTATGAATATTCGATCTGATGTGATAAGAATTAGAACGCCGCCTCTCCAAGCAACAGAAACTGAAGACTGTTTCGAAATAAAAGTCACCAAGAGACACTATTGAATAGTTTACAATAAATATTCGCTCCTAATTTAATATTGCTGTAATAACTTGTGACTATACATCGTATTTCATCATATGAATTCCTAAGGCGGGCCTTATCAGTGCGGTCCAATAATAGCGATGTTGCTGTGCTCTGTAAGTTATCGTAACAGAGATAACAGGAATAACAGTACGTGCAATGTGTGAGAAATTCATGCAAGCAATATCTATTTATGCTAGCTTTGGCAGGATCATGCACAGGCTATTGGTAATTTAACAATTAAAATTAAGCGTACCTTGAAAGTTGAATTATAGTGCATCATAATCTTCTTTGGATCAATTCATACAAGCTGTTCAATTTTGTAGTTCATCCTTGTTATGTTATTGAGCTTTCCATCGCACTAAAATAAGCAATATTACTGGGAGGTTCTCAAATCTGTCGCTCATAGCACAGCAGTGAGCCGTGGTCAGAAATTTGGTCGAAGGCCAGAGATATTAATGCCTATAGATGTCAAGCTGATAAAACTAATTGTAAAGTATACACTAGACTTCATGGACAAGCGCTCATCATATAGTATTTAATTATATGATTTACGTTTCGAGCGACAGGTATGAAAAGTATCTAAAATTTTACTATTGTGAGTTTCATGATCATCGAATATGATTCTGATTTTTTTCTTAAGTTTAATCGGCTGGTACTTTGTTGAATTGGTTAGTACTTATTACTTACCTTGAGTGGGTTAGTACTTATATCTTACCTTCAGTGGGTTAGTACATATTACTTACCTTGAGTGGGTTAGTACTTATTATTACCTTAAATTGGTTAGTACTTATTACTTAACTTGAGTGGGTTAGTACTTATTAATACCTAAATTGGTCAGTACTTATTACTTACCTTGAGTGGAGTTTGGCTGTGATGAGCGAACATGTGCACAAGAGTGACGGTGATGTCTAGCCCCGCGAGGTAGCAGGTAATTAGAAGCCCCAACACCGAGTGCCACCGCGGGTGTGTCAAGAAGTGCAGTTCGTTATAGAACGTCACCAGCAGGGAAAAATTCAACAAAAAAGTTATGGCGTTGCCAATCATTTCTGCTAGCGACTCTACGGAGGATGTGTCAGTATAGGATACTTGGGATGATCGCAGCATCTCTTGTACGGCGCTGTCCGATGAGGAAAACTGCGGTAAAATGCAGCTCGTTAGCTTATGAACATATCAATAATAATTTAAAAGCAAAGAATAGTCCACAAAAATTCATATCTTTATAGAAAACGTTTCGGAGTCCAGCTCCATCGTCAGTTCGTAGAATCTAGAACATACATAGAAAGTCACAAGTTAATACAATTGAAAGCACAGAACACAATTAGAACCTAAATTTGCAAGTAATAGGGCATAACAACCTATCTATTCACAATTTCAAGGGGATAGGAGCGCACAGCTGAATTTAAACTGGGCCTAAGTTTAAAAATGTACAATGATTCTAAGATACGCAAATCTGAAGTACCGGAGGTAGAAGCTAACACCCTAAAGTCACTGTCAGAAACAGGCACATCACACTGCTCGGCGTGAGTGCGCACAGCCGAATGAGGGGGGCGCGATAGCATCTTAGGCCCAGTTTAAATTCAGCTGTGAGCTCCTATCCCCTTGAAATTGTGAATAGATAGGTTTTTATGCCCTATTACTTGTAAATTTAGGTTCTAATTGTGTTCTGTGCTTTCAATTGTATTAACTTGTGACTTTCTATGTATGTTCTAGATTCTACGAACTGACGATGGAGCTGGACTCCGAAACGTTTTCTATAAAGATATGAATTTTTTGTGGACTATTCTTTGCTTTTAAATTTTTAGTCAACTTGCGATTTAAGCAAATAAGTGACATTAATACATATAAATAATACAATAATATTTAGAAGAAATAACAGACAATTAATGTGGGCTGAAAATAATTTCGTTCCAGATAATTTTAGCTTATTTTAACCAATTTTCTATTTCTGTAAGAAATTATGCATAATTTCCATCAGCCGCACATTGAAATGATGAGCGACATAATTTAAAGCGTCATAATTAGTGGTCCTGTGGCTGGTTCAATTTAAATATAATCTTTGAGGAAACTGTCGAATATCTGGCAAATTTATCAGGCTTTTAAGAGCATAATACAGTACATAGCGTGGTAGGGGGAAGCAAGAGAAAAAAGAAGACCAGTCGGTGATACTCATGTTTCTTAATAGTAAAATAATCAAATCCGGAACAACGGTTGTGAAAAAGTACGTGAACAATAAGTATAAATAATATAATAATAAATAATTAATAAACAAAACAAACTGATTGTTGACGATCGTTTGCAGCAAGATGATTTACTGTAAGAAGTCTCCAAATTTCAGCCAGCGACTTTGTCATAAAATTGAACATTACTCATTACGGCAAAGGATAATCGCAAGAGCCGTTCGCTCAATTGCTATATACTTGATGCCTGCTGATGCATTCACTGCGTTTTTGATGAATACTGAGAGGCAAGGAGGTAATTCCGTGCTTGGGCACAAGCCGCTGCACTAATTTATGAAACGAGTATTTAAAAAACATGCATATTCGGAAGCATTAATCAGCGGACCTGCACTGATGGTCACTGATGCAGCAAAAGCTGTGACAGAAATGAGAAAATGCAAGAAGATGCAGTTGGTAAACAGATGCAAAGGCATTAACTGATAGAATTACATAAATGATGAGGGCAACAAAGACCCTATCATACATTAGCAGCTGCCGGAAGTTAGTAGAAAGATGCAAAGGCATAATCAAAAGACTCACATTGATGATCATAAGGGCAACAAAGGCCGTGGCAGACATTAGCAGTTGCAGGAAGTTAGTAGACAGATGCAAAGGCATAATCAATAGACTCACATTGATGGTCATAAGGGCAACGAAGGCCGTGGCAGACATTAGCAGCTGCAGGAAGAGGCAGTTGATGAGCATGGCATGCTGCAGACGATGAATGTAGTTCCTGAACAAGCCCTCCATACTCAGTACTCGCAGTTGACTCTGCAGAACGAAAACAAAAACAATTCATTTTTCTGTGAAACATTAGGCGTAATAATAAAGGCTGAACTAATATCTCACTGGTCAGCGACGAAGCGCTATAAACGGAACAGGAATGGGCCATAACTATTTAACAATTGATCATTATAATTGGACCTGACTAGCATAAAATTAGATTTTAATGATAGCGATGATTTATTTTTTCATTTCGGATTTGTTTAATATCAGAAAATCTTCTAATAATTTAGATTTTAAAAGCGGCATTCGTAGCACATATTGTACATCGATCGCCTTTTAATGTGCACGTTATGTAGCTAAAATGTCAGCTCCTGTTTTCCCAACAATAATCTTCGAGTCCCAAGTAAATTTGGGCAGAAATTTTAATGTCGCAAGGGTCTTAGTTCGTCAGAATCTCATATTCTAATATCGACTGTCTGCGAAGGCCATGCATGGCTTGATAGACAATATGGCTAACCTATTGGCAATGTGTAATAACCGATTTTATTTTGTTGGGAAAGCTAGGCTCGAAATAAATAACTCCAAATAACTGAAAGTTATTTGGATCCGTATATGTGCATCATAATTAATGCAAAACTTCACAATTTTACGCGAAAACTGACCTTCAGGAACGAATACTGCCAATCCCCTTCTTCGTGTTCGAAGTCGTCATTAATTTTGGTTTGATTGGTGATGACACTTGGTCTGCCAGTGAGTGACTCCATTACTCCACTGACTTTTTCATAGAACAAATTATCTTCGAGGTCTCCGGCCCCACGTGATTTTAGGGCCTGTTTTTCAATGTTTCTAAGAGTTTCTAAGATAGCGTTAATTTCCAGCCATTGACGACGTGTTGTTGCACTGGCGTTATCGTAAGAGCTCGAACGTTTGCTGTAATAACCCGAGTCATGTCGGGAATCTTGATTGTTCAAGGGGGTTAACCCTTGGGAAAGCCTTGAACCCCTAGTGTGATCACTTGCGAGGGCAAAGGGGTTCAGACGATCATAAGGCCCATCATTGTCAGGCGTGACGTACTTGGCGAAGTGACGACGCGTTGCTTCATCCAGAGGAAGAGGATCGCTTGCAAACTGGCGCCGAGTTGGGGGGATATTCTTCGGCCTGCGAACACAAATGATATCAGTCACAGGTGTTGTGTCTGTGCAAATAAAATGAAGTGTATTGTGGAACTAAAATGAAAAAATGAAGTGTATTGTGCAACTAAAATGAAAAAATGAAGTGTATTGTGCAACTAAAATGAAGTTTCGGCCTGCGTACACAAATGATATCAATCACAGGTATTGTGTCCGTGCAACTAAAATGAAGTGTATTGTGCAACTAAAATGAAGTTTTGAAACAATTATGGGCATATCATTTGTTGATGCCACTAAAACAACAGCATTTTCATAGTGTAGGCGATCGCCTCTGCTAGCAGAGGCTGGACATAGCCTCACATAGGCTATGCATGTCCTGTGTGTAGTAGTCCTTGACCGGCACCTACTAATATACTAGTAGGTATATATTGAGTTTATGGCCTTTTTTGGCCTTTTTTGTACGCGGACAAAAGGCCATCTCCAACCCTGACCCATTCAAATTTTTTTAGAGACCGCGTCAAACGCACGGCTCCTGCAAGACTTTCCTGAGTCACTGACAAAAAATTTCTTTGCAGGAATGCTGATTTTACTTCAATTATGCTTCGAGAAGCGAAAGAAATAATTGCCAAATCATGGATAGTTGGTTAATTTAATATGACGACAACGTACGTGAACATATCGATTTCGGTTAAAATGGAACATATAAAATAGTTCAAACACAGGAATTTGCAAATCGATGGTCTAAATTTTTAAAAAACAATAAATAGCTTTCTTTCGAAAGTAATTTCTTTCGCGTTAATTACTGGCCGAGCGTTAACTCGAAGTTACAAAGCAGTGCAAGTTATTTTTTCAGAAGAAAAAGTAAGCTTCACTTAACAATCAAACGTATGAACTCACAAATCTAGCACAGGAGGAAAAAGTTTAGCTAGAGAGCAGAGACACAACCGACGGAACTGCCGCGGAATAGAGAGATGATATTTCAAGCTTCTGAACCACACTGAAGTACAAAGAATAGGCAATATAATGTGATGATGTTACCTGCCAAAGATTTCTGACTGTTGTAATGACATGTGACTGTTGTAATGACATGTGACTGTTGTAA